CTCCAGCAAGACTTAAATGATAAACATTTGCAAGATATTCAGCTGCGTTATCATGTCAAAAAGGTACGTACTGACAGCTCCTACCCATCAAAAGAGATTCCCTTTTAAACATAACAATACACCTGTAAGTTAATAAAATCCACTTATTGAACGTCATCCGATAATGGTTTGGGTTGGATTTAACGAGACAGTGCGAGAAACCCAAAAGCCAGCCCTACAGCGGGTGAGGTGCTGGAGCACGGGAACAGGAACCTGTCAAAAGGGATGAGATGAGCCAAAGCATGAACGGTGACAGCTGTATTGGACTTTTTAGTGTTCATTACCTTGCTGCCAGCGACACAAACAGTGAAATACCTGTGGAGAGAAAGCGCTGCGGTGAATGAAACAGTGCCTGTTGTACCCGAGTAGGGAATTCACTACAAGGAGTAGAATTCCGCTTGCAAACCCAACCCAGCAACTGCAGGAACAACCAGAATGGCCACAGGTGCAGTGCGAGCTGTGCAAAGCACAACCAAGGCATCACTCACCGTGAAGGACATCAGTCTCGGCTCAGATCAAGTGGCAGATTTGTGTGTTTTCTTGTAGTGATGTTTTGTGCTAATTGCTCTTCACTGGTCACCGCTTAAGGGAAGGCGTGCGGACATTCTTCCTTGTACAATAAAGGCTGCATTTGGCAAGGAACCAAACACCAGCATCCGTTAAAAGGCAGTTTCCAAACCGACACACTTCGGCTATGGTCTTAGTTTGTGAGCTTCCTTTTGCCTTGGATTAGCATGATACTCGTGATATTATACCCCATATGCAGATCTCAGACGATAGCCTTTGTGCAAGACTGATGCTGATACCACCACTGAGAAGCCAAGAAGTACAAGTCCACAATCTTATGGGCGCAGAAGCATTGATTACTGACCTGGAACTTCAATTCTTTCAGGAGGCACTTCACATAGTAACTCATTGCGACCAGCAGAGATCTGGTCAAGGTGCCTAAGCGTCTGTGAACACCGGAACCGGGTGCCTTCAATGTCCCAATCTTTAACACTTGGTTAAAATCTCTTGAGGCTCCAGTTTCCCCCTTCCCCTGTTTTTTAAAGGATCATCTTGGGCATAAAGCTTTGGAGAAGGCACACAAAACAAGGCACGCTGCTAGAAGCAGCTCTTTAAGCAGGGTCTGTCTCTGGAAGGCACCCATTTCTTGCACTGTTTATTCCCAAGGTTAGGATGGGGAGGAACCACAGATGGTTAGAGAGGACTCATCAGCTAGAACCAGAGTGGCCCAGACATTTCCTCTGAAACCAGGAGGAGACAGCACAGCAGGGAGGGAACAGTCAGTGCTTGGAACTACAAAACCCCTCTACATGGACCACAGGATGCTTGCTTTGCCAGTCGTCTGGGACGGCTCAGCACAAGAGAGCATCTCCAGCACCATCAGCAGAAGGCTCTTGCTCCCTCCTCAAGGAAGAGCACCTGGTCAATAGGAATTGTGTTAGCTGGGAGAACTGGGGGTCCCGTATGTGCAACAGGAACAACAGCTTCGCCTCAACTGAAAGCTTCCTTTGCCCTGCAAAAGGCTCCAGGCAATTAAAGCAAAACCACCCCCAAAAAAGCCAGCAGACAGAACTCATTTCCTTTAAGCTTATTTAATGATATTTGAAACGCTTAAATTTTCTATTTCCCAGATCCTGAAAACAGATTCTTTTTTTAAGTGACCAATATTTAAGTCCAGAAACATACAACCTTATCAGCTAAGTCATAAAAGAGCTATTTTACAAACATACATCTGGATAATTAGAACAATAAAGTCTTTTTAGACATTCAAACATGATCAGTAAAAATACAGGATTATTAATAAAGATTTTTGTGTATTTTCTTTCTTTTTTAAAGAATACTTCCAGATTTTCTTTCTTCTCTTTAAAGTAAATCTCTGTTGCGAGTACATGATTGTATGTTGTACAAAGGAAATAAAAATATCCTAGTATGAAGAGAGCTCCACAAGACTTAATTCAAAAGAAAACAGCAGTGTTTTGGCTGCAGTATCCCTTTTGCAGTACATCTGCTTGTCAGTTGGCACCTTTTGGGGAGGGGAAGGAATTTCTTTGGGGAACAGAGGGAGAAAACACTGGATACCACCAAGCACTGAAATTATAGCCAAGGGTCATGTGCTGAAGCATCAGACCCATCTTCTAATAACAGGGACAGTATGTGTAAATCAGAGTATCTATGAGAACACTGGAAATAGGCATAATGCTGTCTGAAAGCTGACCAAAACCATCTGGACGACTTAGCTCTTCTGAGCTACATTCCTCATCCTTCTTTCTGATCCCACCTATAGGATGTTAAAGAAACCAGGGTGATCAAATACCAGCTTAGCACTCGCTCTCCTATCCTATGGGAGAAGGAAGTTCCCCATTGCAGAAAGTACCCATCTGACTTGTCCATCAACCTGTAACTGCAGAAATCGCTTCTTAGAAGGATATGCAAGGATGGCTGCTATACCACCTCTTTGTTCCCAAGATAAGAAACCCTTGCTCATCTTGTATCTGGGGGAGAGGAGTGGCTGGGGCAAACAAACCAGAGAACACTGTCCTGCTCTGCCACCCAGTTTGAATAAGGGAATGTACAATCATTCAATCAGCAACCAGGGGCAAAATAAAATGCTTCCTTACACTGGAAACTGGAATTTGAGAAAGGACAGTCTTATGGCTTAAAGGGGGGAAAAACTGAGAATCCTGAATAGTGCATTTGAGTTCCAGCTCCTTCCACACAGTGAGACATGGCCTGAGGTCTGCCATACAGTAGATGTGCTACAGAAGAGAAAGGAATCCCCCATTATTTCAGGTTACTGCTCCCAGATAATGGTTTCCTGACCCCACCAGCATTTGTCTAGAGGGGTAATGCCCCGTTTGCGAGGATGGTCAATGTAGCATAACAAGGCCAGCTGAAACAAAACCAAACAGGACAGAGCACAGCGTGTCATTTCTATCGCCCGTACAACTGGGTTCAAATGGGTTGGTCTTCTCTAACACTCCTTAAAGCTCTCCACAACCTCCTGCTCTGGAGGCTGTTCGCTTCATCTGGTACAGTGGCTTCCCTGCCATTGTCACCAGCCTGGCACAAAGTGTGGATGTTTCCCCCCGTACACCTCGAGAGGTGACAGAGACAGAACTGCACCCGACCTCCCACTGGATTATATCCAAAGAAGCATTAAGGGCTGGTGGGGAAAATTCCACTCCAGCAGCTCTGGAGACAGAAACGTAAGGCTGACATGGAAACATAAATACTCTGCATTCCCAGGTTTTTCACTGCTGCTGCATCTATAACAGATGAAACAAAGCAGTGGTGGATGATGCTACAAAATGCTCATGCAAAGGTGAAAAAGTCAGAGGCAGCACGGGCAGACTGCTCCCCCATGGCTCACCTATAGGCTATGTATATGCTAACAGCTATATGTTTCTTGTGCAGTATGTTGCTCACCACGAACCTTGAAATACCTGGAGAAAATCAGAGAAACAGGGATTTTGCCTTCAGTTACAAGTATTAAACAACCAGGCCTTTACAGGTCCCGTCTTTGCTGGTCTTCTAGCATACTAAGCTTTCTCTAATAGAGATCAAGGGTCATTTTCACTCAGCCATGGAAGCCTGCTGGAAAGCTTCTAGGCAGCGAAGGCCACAGTAACTTCTCCTGTTTCTGGAGTGTGTAGAGCCAGGCAAGCATCATCCAGCTAATGAAGGGGGGCTGGGGGAAGTGCCTTAGAAACCAAGTCTATAGCCCAGTTCTCTTTCTGGCCGGATCACATAAAAGATGCCACATCAGCATGAAGCAGTTTTGGGGGCTTACAGGGAGTTCAGATGATTATAACCAAAGGAACTGTATGGCTGAAGGTGAGGAGGGAGGATACCACCCGTGAAAGAATGGAAGTGCTTGGCTAATACTGACAGTATACTCGTAGAGGTGCAACAGGACAGGCCTTGGTGGGTCCCAAGGAAGAGGAAGCTCCTGCCAGCCTGGAAGAGAACACTTTGGCTTGTGTTGGCAGTGTAATGCTCTGCTGGTGAGAAACAATACTTTGTGCAATTGGCTCTTGAAACAAGAGAAACTCCCCCCTACTCTATAAGGGCTCATGGCTCCGGCTTCCACATCAGGCCCAAAATCATCTCCAGTCAACCTCTGTCAATCTTTAAATGAACTTATCCCTTGCATGTTTCTAATGGGACAAAAAAGAACTGTTTTTTTTCCTATGTGAGTAGACAAAGGACAGAACCCATTTCTAGCCAGTAGCTAAAGAGAAAGCGTGTGTTTCAAAGGAGCGGGGAGTATGATCTTTATGCTGACCAAAGACAGACTCTCAGCACTTCTTGATGCATGCAGTGATGCAACACTATGGCAGTTCTGATTTGTTAATGGGATTTACAGGTTTGGCATGCAGCTCAGTTTGGGTTCACTAAACAGTTTCACTTAGAAAGAGGGTGTAAAGAGACTGCCTTACACGATTTCCACTAGCAGTCCTATTCAGTGTCTGATAATGGGGACAGCTTGAACTACCCTATGCCAAGCAGGAACTGCCTGCCCTAAGACCAGCTCCAGAGCAGAGGCACAGGCAGCTTGTGCTGCCCAGTGTTAGCTCTGCTGGTAGCCTGATACCTGTATCTTAGTCCCAGACTGGGAAGGAATTCCAACAGCAAAACCCGTTAGAACAGGCCTGAGGAAGTGCCAGGGAGCTGCTTCAGCCTTCTTTGTTCTGAACATCTCTGTTTCAGTGAGAACACATTGGCACAAATCAGTTCAGGAAAGAAAAAAAACCAACCACAACCAAAATCAAACCCCCAACCCCACTCCCCCAGAAAGAAACCCCAACCCCACCCCAAGCCCTCAGCAAGACATACTTTCAGGTACTAAAACTTACTGGCCCTATAATCAGCAGTACCTGTGGCTAACTCAAATGGCAGCCCTTATTCATTCAGTAGTGAATCAGGGGCAGAGCTGCCCCATATCTTTGAAACACTTCTGGGTTTGCGTTTATTCTTTTTGATCCAGAGAAGAGTTACAAAAGTGCTGCAGGTCCAAGTATTTTTATCACTTTACAAAGGAGACAATGATCAAAGCCAACAAAGTCAAGGAAAAAATTAAACCTATCTTTCTCCTCTCCCAGTTTAATCTTGCATGTCAACAAAGGAGACCCCTAATGGGAGAGGGGGATAAAGAAAGTCTGCCCATCTGAAGTGCCTGGCTATTTAGCGCATGGAAAATTCTTGTTACACATTTGGTGACATGAGCAGTTCCCATGCAATTGGTGAATACAGATAGTTCCAGCCACAAGTCATCCTAACACCTTCATAAGTAGCTCTTCGCATGGCAGCTTGCTTGCCAGCAGAGAGTGCAGAGTCCAGTCCAGTGAAGATACACTTGCACATGAGCACACCCTCTCCCCTCAGACCTGACCTTTGGTTCAGGAGCAGTGGCAGGCAGGGTGTACTGTAGGCAGAGGGCTAGAACTGTCACTACCCAATTAAAATAGAACAAACAAAAAAAAAGCAGATTAAAAAATTAAAATGTGCTTTTGATACACGGAATGAAGTCAAATAAATACATTGATTCTTCTTCTTTTAATGTCTAAATACATTTTTATATCCTACACCCAAAGCTCTGTACATTTGGTTTGGTTTTTCTGTTCTGAAAAATGAATTTCTGCGAGCAAGGAGAGGAGCAGAATAGAATAGACTCCCTCACTGACAAGATAGTGCAGATGCCCCACAGGAAAAGCACCCCATGCCCACTTTGCTAGAGTATGGTTCACGTTTGGATGGTCCAAACCCTCTTGGCTCAGAGTCCACAGGGAAGACAGCGGGTGCTGCGTCCTGATGCTCTTCATCCAATCTTCAGCCATGCCTGAAAACATGACTAGCTTTTGTCTGAAGGAGGAAATAAAAAAGGAGGGAGAAAAAGGGTTGTGAGGGGGGGATGCAATGAGATGAATGCCTAGAACACCAGTACTAGCAGAGAATGTGTGTTATACGAGAGACAGCGCACCCATTTAACCTTAAGACCTTTGTCAGCAATTCCAGCAATTACCTCTCTAGGATGCCTAAAGCCAGTTTAAAGAGCCCCATGGCAACCGCTTCACGCAGCATCACAGAGACCCCAGAGAAAGAAGAAGACAGATTTTAATCATTTTACACATGCAGACATCTTCCTCTGGGACTTTACATCAATCCAGGCTTCTTTGAAAGAGAAGCTGTGCATCCCGAGATGTAGATCTTTGGCAGGCAGGGGTGGGACTGCTTGTACCAACCTTCTCAGAGGAAGGAACAAGCTCCTCTGCACATGAATCTCAACAGATTCAACCGACCTTTCCTGCAATCAGCATGGTGTCAGCCCTGTGAGAGCTGCTGAAGTAGGTGAAACCTTCTTCATGTGTGTGATAAACATTAACAATTGACCTTGTGCTCTTTGTTTAATGTCTGAAGCTAACGTGCTATACGCTACCAATTACAGACACTCTGGTTGCATACCTGAGTGCTCTCCTGTGGAGGCTGATCCAGCCAGCCCTTGGCGTCGGAGAATGGTGTAGTCTTCCTCAACCTCCTAGAAAACAAAAACCCCCAAAACTCAAGTGGCTTTTTCCTCTATTTACCAAGTGAACAAAGAGGACTTCAGATGGGAAAAGAGAAGTTTCACTGCAGGTGAGTGGACTGGAATCACCCATGTTGCACCATGACCCACAACAGATCCTTTGTCAACATCTTTACCAGGGCTTCTATTTGTATGCAATATTCCACTTTCTTCTCAGATTTCAGTTAAATTAAAGGCCAGCTACTGACTTAACACGTTGGTATGCTTCATACATCAGGATGCTATGAACCTTCTATAGCAATGGTTATTATGCATACAGAATCCCCATCACATACAAAAAATCATTAAAGCTGAAAACACTCTTATTGGTCTACTGCAACCTTCATTTGACATTGGCAGCAGCATGCGACAGATTTGATAAGTCTTTTCATGTCAGGAATTCATATTCCTTAGGCCAGTGGCCCCTTCAAAGCTCCACTGCTGCAGACTTGCATCAGTTTTGTCCCATCCCTCAGGAATCTCTCTAGGTTCAAATCAAAGCAATATATGTACCCGCTAGCTCTAGCGGAACTACTTGCCTCTTGTAACCCACAACTTAATGCAAACAAACCACCACCAAGATTCTGCTTTAACAGTCTCCAGAAATAAGAGCCAAAGACAAAAAAAAGGCATGGCTGCTTTTTTCCAAGCTCTTTACTGATACAAAACCCAAGGAATATGAAAACCCCAATACTGCAAAGAGAAAGGCAGCGTACCTTTAACTTTTCAAGGTCATCCTCTATCTTCTGAATATACTGCATCATCTGCACACGCGACTCTATAGAGAAGTGAGGGCTTGCTACAAATGAGCAGGACTCTTCCACTGCTCCCCAGCGTGAGGCCATCATCTCCTCAGCAAAGGGGGAGCTTCCTCCATCTGACTGGGTGTCCCGGGGGGAAAGTGGCTGCTGCTGTGCAGAGTCCAAAGAGGCATGGCCACCTGCGGTGCACTGGAGAACTAGAGATGAGACCTCCTCATCTGTGGAGCTCTCCTGCACTGTTCCGTATCCGTCGAGGATCAAATAATTTCCTGTTAAGAGAACAGCTTTTTACTAACACCTCCAGCTCAATAATCACCAAGAACCATGGAACTAGAGGAGACAGCTTAAGCAGGCTTTAAGAAAGATAAGTGGTGAGAGGCCCACCTCCAAGGACATTTCAAAACGGGTAAGCAAATGCATTTGTGAACACTAAGCAGAATAGTGATTATATCAGACCAGACTGGTTTGGTTCTGAATTGGGCTTCAGAGACTGTGGCAGGTTTCTGGACTGCAGCTTGAGAATTACATGGTAAGATGAGCTAATCATCCCCCTTCCTGTTTTTCCTAAATGGGTGTTTCTATTATGATGTCTGGAAAACCTGCACTTACACTAATGGCACCTGACAAATCAAGGCTGCTAGATTTCCACTTGCTAGCTAGGGCACTGAGGATGCTTTTAGACCGGTTAGCTTGAAAGCTCAGCTTGCTGATGACATGCTGAAAGACAAAGCAATTATAGATAGAAATGTTTTCACAACCTGCGCCTAACACCAAGATTATGTTAAATTTCTCTACAGTATTCCAGCAAAGCTACCATGTGGAGTCTGAATTAAACCCAGGCCTATCTAATTTTGATGTCCCTGCACAGTTAAGAAAGTAAACAGCATAAGAGACGACAAATAAATTAGATGCTTTGCGTTGCTAGCTCAGTTTTAATAATTTAAAACAGCTCGGTAATTCAGGGGAAGAAGAATTGTTTTCAATATGGAGTTGGAAGGCAGCATTCAGACAGTCACAGATTGGCTTATTCATGATGACAGAATCCAATTTGAAAACAAAAGCGTATTTATGATAAGAGAACTCAACACCAGGAGTTACACAGAATCTACCCACTAGCAGCTACTTCTACTACAACAGGCACAGGAGATAAACCTCAACTTGTGTCCTCAATTTAGTGCAGTGTCACCATGCTGGCTGATTAAAACTCACAGGGCTTTCTAAACTCAAAATAACAACGAGTTTTTAAGAGCTTCAGACCGGGGTGAGATCTCAAGACAATTACAGTGCAAAGCTAAACCCTAAGTTTCTTTTCTGAAGCTTGATCAGGAGAAGCCAACACAGTATCTACGAAACAGCATGAGTCATGAGGACTCTGTGTGTACAGACTAAGGAAGTACTTTGCCTTCAGGGAACACGTCTTCCATACAGATCCTAACAGACACTTGAGAGATAAAGTGGTCCAGTGGCAACTGCAGTCAAGAGCTTGCATTGTGCCCAGTGCCTCTGTAATTACAGTCTGTCACAGTGTATTAACCCCACAGTATTTCAGCCTCTGCTGTCATAAAATAGAGAATTAATTAGGTACATATTTGCACAGCTCTTTTCAGGGCTAAAATGACTGTCAAGGGCCAAGAGTTAACTTTAAGTGTCCTATACCACATAAGCAAGAGAGGAAGTCTCTAATACTGAAACCGGACACATTGTCACTCTACGAGTGAATTCAATATGCTCACCTGAGATCCGTATTTGCACGTCCTCTTCCTCCTTCCTTTCCATTAATTCACTTTCAGATGGATTTTCATCACTGTGAGCTTCTCGAGCATCAAAAAAATGCTCCCCGCTTTCATCAGCACCCACCCCTTCCAGCTCTGCAGCTGACATCTCCAGATTCATACTCATGCGGTCTAGTGCTAAGTTACTACTCGACCTGGGGTCTCTCTCTATCAGCTGCATGGCATCTCCTGAAGCTGGCGATTCAGCTGAAGTCCGGAGGCCATAACTAGCTGTAGACTCATTAGTTCCGGTTCTTGGAAGCTCCCTGTCTGCTCCAGGCTGGTGGAATTTGTTGCTCTCAGGGTCGTTTCCACTCTCTGTTTGGGCTTCTTGAGAAACGGTCCTAAACCTGGGAAAGCGCTGCCGGTCTTCGAGGGTCCCCTTCTCAGAGAAGCCAAGCTGCTGCACCAACAACTGTTTCAGCAAGCCCACTGCAAGTAAAGAGAACGTTCACAAGGCTTCACAGATCATAACCTCCCTAACGGTCATTAAACCAGGCTACCCTTCCGCAGAGGTGTATCTCGTAGCAGCCAGCCCTCTCATTGCTCTTGGCAGGAAAAACAGGGATAAAAATAGGTGTATCAGGTCTGAAGCCTTCCTGCACATTTTACAAGCGAGAGCAAACGTGTCAGTACAAGTTCCATCTTGCTTAGGGGAAAAAAAATCACCTACTGAGATTACCCAGCAACTGAGCTGGAGTGCAGGTGAGCGCACAGGTTTTTCCCAAGCCCCCCAACCGTGGCCATAATAGGGGATTCCCACCGGAGAAATGAACATATTGAAAATATTCCACTCAACTTTGAAATGACAGATCAAAAAAAAAGGATACTGAAGACACATTTTCCCCTAAAATTTCATGCAAATTTATGCTTGTTTGAACTTCAACCCACATTCCTTTAGTTCTCAAATTATCCCAACCCAACACTTCGTATTAAGGACACATTGTTGAAAACAAAAATGCGATGCTGTCAAGAGCACAAGTACACTCTTCACTCTCACCATATAACGCTCATGTAACACCCAGGAAAAGCTATGATGTCATACAGCATAACAGTCACTCATCTAAGTGGAAGGCTGTTGTCAAAATGTGAGTGACATTCTGCTGCTGTTGGAGGGCTGCTCTTTTAAGTCTGAATAGTCATGAGATGCTAGGGCACTGTCTTCGCATACCCCACAGACTAAGATTATCTTAGCACTGGTCTCTGAAAACAAGTACCAAGAACATTCATACAGCATTCAGAATTAGAAAAGCACTTTGAATCCTATAAGAAGGAGAAACATAAACGGATCAAAGGATCTGAGGGGAACTATCACATAGCAGAGAACTGTTCTTTAGCTGTACAGAGAGACAGAAAAAAGAATTTGGGCCAAGGAGATGAAGCCTCTGCATTTTGGTAAAAGCAAATAACAGAGAAGCAATACAGACTATTCCCTTCACATATAACTGAGGGACTTCGTGTCCTTTCAGAACTGCCAAGAGGAGATACATGGATTAATGAATTCATTCAAATTTTAGGAAGTTATATTTAGGGATTGCACTACTAGATCTGATCAAGTAGGTTGCATGGCTCTGCATCCTTCCTCTGAAAGGAGGTATGCCAGAGAACAGAGGAAGTGATTCAAAATCTATTACAGAATCTGTCCATCCGGAGAGTTTCTTTACAACACACACAAGTGTTGAGCTAATTATATCCAACCACATCCCATGTCCTCAGAAAATCTGAACCTAGGCTTTGTCAAGCTCAAGTATATCCCATATGTTTGCATGGTACAAAAACCCATGCAAAATCATGTTCTGCTACTCATGAAACCTCTCCTGTTAGGCTCCAGTGCTATGAAAATAAGCCCACAGGCTGACTGCATTGTCTTCTAACATCCAGCAATGGCACTGTAAAGCACTGCATAAAGTTGCAATATAATTTTGTCATCAAAGCACTTCATGGCCAGTAATTAACAACTCATTACTACCATCATTTTATACATGGGAAAACCACAGAAAAATGAGATGATTAAAGCCAAAGGAAAGGGCAGGATATGAACTCAGGACTTGGAATTCCCTGCTGTCAGATTCACTTTGGTTTGCTATGCTGTGATCTACAGCACAGAGAGAATCGATATTTAATAGAAATGGGCTTTATTTTAGCCCATTGATTCAGATGGGTGACCTAGCAATGCCCATCTCCACACCACGGCCCAACCAGACACTGCCCACAGATACTTACAGTTCCTTAATGCATCCAATGCCCACTGCCCTTCTGATACGGAAGATAAACTGGTGGTTGTGTGTTCATAGCATGCAGAAGAATCTTTAAGTGTCAGGTCTGCCTGCTGCACTTTATCAAACTGTCCTTCTGATGCAAGGAGACTTTCTACCTTGGACTTTTCAGACATGATGAGTGAAGAAGACTGAGCATTCAGTATTAAGGGAGATTCGAGGCCCAAATCTTTATCTAGGAAACAGAAAACATAGATTCGGGTTAAACAACTGTGTCAAATTCGACGATCAACTGCAGAAAATTCTGCTTCCCACAGAAATCTCTGAGAACACTGAGAAATACAGTCCTTGAGCATGGGCTTGGTAAAAGGCCAATTCTTTTGAGGGGGAAAAAAGAATCTTTACCAGTAATTTATAAACCAGATAGAAACAGTAAAAGATATGTTTTCCAAGAGGCTCGGTATCACTTCTCCACATGACTTGTAATGAAATCATTTATTTCCAGGAATGTCAAAGCTACCAAGAGATCCCAATCCACAAGGAGTACACCTTGGCGTATTTGCACTCCATACGTGAATCTACTGATATAATTCATCTGGACCAGAGCTTTACCTGGACTTTGTAGGCTACTGGCAGGAATGTCATGCTGCTCTTTGAGCTTCTGCTGTTCTTCTTCTTCACGCTCTTCTCTGCAGGGAGTAAAGAATGAACAGGTTCTTTTAGTCACACAGATCTGAATCGCTGCATGAGAATCCATGCTCTGGCTGGCAATCTTTGAGCAGGAGAACGGGTACCAGACAAAGAAAAACCAGCCTTTCCTCCTCCAGCTACTTTTACTTACTCGCCAGGTCCTGACTGTGGTAATGGAATCACTCTTCTGGTATTCCCCATTTTTACAGTCCCTGCCATCTGAGCTATAAGGTCCTGCCATCTGCAGCAGAAGCATCAAATAAAAACATGCAAAATGTGAAGCATAATGAATACTTGTCTGCTTAACACCTCTTAAATCCAGCTAACATTATTACTGCTCTTCTTACAACAGAAATAGATTTTTCCTTTCCTTCTCAATCCTGTTACATTCAATTCCTGCAATACCTTGCAGCCACCAGTGAAGCACCACAGTGTGATGCTCACCTCACCAGGATACAGATGCAGGATTATTTTAGTCACTTATCTCGCAGTCAGTCACATAAGACCACAATTGCAAAGGCAAGTAACAGGTTTTTTAAAGTCAAAAAAGGGTCAGGAGTGAGCCTCAAACAACAGCAAACAACAACAATAGAAGCACTAAGTGTATGTACGGGGTGGCTTTTTAAACACATACGTGTTTACACATACCCTCCCCCTGCTTCTTGTAAGCTGGGAGAGACTATCCTTGGATACTTCCTACATAGGCCAACACAGCTGCATTTCCAGCTATGCTGAGAGAAGGAACTCAGGTAATTCACAGACACCTGCACCGTTACTGCAGGCAAACAGATGTAAAAGATCTCTCAAGGACCACAAATCAAGGAGCAGATGGAAGGGAACCAATTACTTACACATTCTTTTCTGACACAGTCTGTGCCACCAGTTCATAAATATGAGCGCCATTTTCTGACATGGAGATGACGAAGAAAGCTTTGTTATCTGAAGCAACACAGGGAAGGAAGAATTAAGCTAGATGCCTTGCCCCACATAGCTTCCTAAAATTCCCAAAACTGGGAATACCCCCGTCCAGAAGCAATAGAAGAAGAGTCAATGAGATAACCCTCCAATGCGATAATATGCAAACATCAAATCTTGCCTAACCCAGGAAATTTGCCTATTAGTCCTGAAAGAAAACAGCCATTACAGCCCAAACCATTCTGAAACAGATTTAATTCTCCTCTTTTCCTTCTTAATAATTTCTAGAGCACCTTTCATCTACTACAATCAGAGTACTTTAATTTAGAAGTCTATTTAAAACTCAAGCCATGCCTATTACTGACGCAAAGAAGTCAAACAGCTCATACATACAAAGTAAGACGTTGGACAACCAAGAATTAAGCCTACACATTTTCTCATGTTCTACTCTGAAATTCTAGGTAAAACCACCTATCCTCAACTGATCTTCTCTTCATTTTTGGCTTCCTCTCGTGCTTTCTCAATTGGTTAGACTGACCTGTCGCCACCTGACGAACCAGAACAGTGTTCAGTTTGATGATAGGACTGAAGGTGTGTTTGCTGTCGGCTGTTGACGCCAAGATTTTACTGTGACACTTCAGTACCAGTTTATCATCTTGTTTCTGCAACAGCACCAGAATGTCCTCCAGGAGCAGGGTGTAGAGATCTGCATGGGGTGCAAAAGAACCCAGAATGAGTTAAGGAATTCATAGTTTCGTATCACACCCCTGCAGAAAGAAAAAGGCTGCATTTTTGATTACTCATGCAGAGGCAGTAATCAGCGCTATGCCATTCTAGGCAAAGCTTGCAAATTTTCCTCATGAAAACTACATCAGAAAGCTACAGATGGAATTGGATCATCTCATGACTGACTGCTGTGTCCCTGCATGGCCTTAATGACACTCCAGCACATTTCACAATTGACAAGAATAATTTAATCAGCTCTGAGCAACACACAGGCATTATTACAGGTGGCAGTAAGAACCATAACAGGAAACGGCAGAAATGCTTTCTCTTTCTCTCCTCGTCACCAAAACCACACAAACCCAAGTCAGTCACTTGATGGGACAGGACTCACCGATAGTTTTGTCACGATTAACCTTCCAAGTTAGAGGTCCTTCATGAAGCATTTTTCTCTTTGTGAGATCCAAGTTCTGTCACCAGGGAAAAGAAAAAAGAGTATCACTATGGAATTTCTGTGGAAGCACGCAATGGTAAAGCATGGAAACGTCAGAGGGAAGGCTAGGATAGGCACTCCAGCTTGGAGATGAGCAGCTAAACCCAGCCTGGAAAAAGAAATGGGCATCGGAAGAAGGGTATGCTTGTAAACCAAAATCTTGAGAGAGGCAGGCGTTATCACTGTTCCTCTTTCACTGCTCTTTTGCAGATGCTGGGAGTCACAGGGTAGAGAATTTTCCTACCAAAAATACTAAGGCATCAGGATGTTATCTGACTGCTAGGAGGAGTTTTTCCAATGAAGCTAGCAGTTCTAGTACTGCAACTGGTTAAGGCTTCAGCACTCGATTTGCAAGTCAAGTGTGCCTACAAATGATATACAAATCATCCCAATGATCTGGTGGACTTTATAATGTCAATGGATTCTTCAGTCATTTCAGTGCTTGTGACATTTAGATCTGCAGGCAAGTAGAAGTGACAATTTTCACAAGTCATTCCTTCCAAGTCTCAGAGTCTACAATCAATGACAGCAAGATTTCATAACTGACAGCAAGTTCTTCATTTCCTAACTAAAATGCCTGCAGGTTTATTTGTGGAAGGATCCATGACACAGTTTTACAGGAAAGTCTTCATATAAAATTTTTTTGGCTACCTACTGATTTTGGGGAAGAGAGACAAGTGATAAACAAACAACAGGGAATCTATGCAAGACACACAGTAAATCCTGCTCCAAGGATGTGGAGCATTCCATTTAACAGCAGCCGAGAGCAAGTAACCACTTCTTTAACGTAACTGCAAGAATTTAGAGGGGCCATCAAACACTGTGCTTTCAGCACTGGACTCAAAACTTCATTTGGATATACCTGTGGATCCTGCATACAAATCAGCCTGTGTACAAGCTCCTCTTATAAAGCTAACTGCATTGCAACACCTCATGACTCTCTGAGGCCTCCCTAGTTCCAACAGCACAACAAAGGCTTGCAATCATTTGAGAGATACATCCATAAGACAACTTATGGTCCATTGGATATCTTTTATGTGATAGAGTACATTAGGCTGAGAACCATTAAGGTTTGTTTCAGAGAGTTTACAAGCTTCATCAACACTGCTATATGCAGAACCAAGTTGTTATATTCACAGAGGTATTCAGGCAGGTAACAAAACTCAGATTTCTGAGACTAATTGTTTAGGTTTTGTACAGAAATATTCATCTCCAAAGACCATTTGATTGTACATCAGAAGACTACAGCAGAAAGTGCCACAAACAGAACAACAGGGCTGCAATCATGATTTACATAGAGATTGGTTTAGTGCTGTCACTCACCCTGAACTCATCCATCATGGGATCCTCAGACTGTTTCAAGGGGGACAAGTCGAGACGACGCTGGTAATCTTCCAAATGCTGCAGAAAATGCAGTGAAGATGGTCACTTTGGTTAGTCAAACTCACTGGCATCAGAATGCAGGCAGTCATTAATACTTCCACACACTCCCAAACGCCCAGGATTCCTCCTCTCACAAGAATACTTGCACCACAAAACATCTTAAGGCGCAATATAAAGTCACTAGTACAGAGACTCTAGGGGTCTTGAAGAGCTTGTTGCCCTTCAACTCTCTTCTCCCCAAGCCTTGATGCTCACTCCGTTCACCTCCTACCTGCTTGTTCTCAGCCTCTTTGACAGCCTGGTTCACGTGGTTAAGGATCTGACGACAATGATCTGCTGCTTTCTTCACCTTCTCTTTCTCTTCAGGCAGTTCTGCAAGGGAAAAAGGAAATGAAAGAATGCTTTTCAATAAAGGCTGAAATAGGCAGAAATCCAGTGCAGTCTGCTGACCTCAAATTTGAGAAAGAACTCAAATTCACAGAATAGCATACCAACAAAAGCACTGCAATTCAAAGCTGAAATGACATAAACAGATTTGTGACAGGAGGTAATACATTCTGCCCTGCACAAGGCACTGGCCTCTGCTTAGCACCATTGCACAAGCACAGGACTTGTCACTCTTCCCTTTTTGAGGGGCTTGTGGCAACTATTCACTCCACAAACATCAATTTGAGCAGTATTCGGGGGAATCTGAAAGGTCACCACTACTCCACCATGGTACAAAGAGAGTCTTGGGGTAGATAGTTAAGATCACACACAGCCAGGTAGCCAAAGTCCCACAATGTGGCAACTGACCACTGGCTTCTGCATTTCCCCCAGTCCTTCTTACTCATTTATTTTGGAAGAAAGAAAAAGAAATGTAAGGCAAAACATCCAAAAAATGTGTTACCCAGTAACATTTTCCAATTAAATTGGAATTAAATTCCAAAATAAATATATTTATTTTAACTTCTTTGGAAAAAGGTACCATTTACGCAGCCTGAAGATAAAAACCACTATTCCTTTACAGCAAGACCAAACGAGTTCTCTTTCCTACCAACATCACTTGATCATACACAGATAGACACAGGTGAACCCCATCCATTCTCACTACCATATGCCACATTAAGGATGGAGTTAACAGGCAAATAAACAAGTACATCAAGGATAATGGAGTATCACATGCTTTCCTAATTATGATTAGAGTCAACTTGTAAATGCACTATAGTTTTTATGAGTAATGAAATTACACTGCGGCAGGTATCTGCTAGTGAACCTGAAAAGCTATTTTGTGGTAGTATTAATCATATTTTCTCCTGTTATGGTTGAAACATCTTTCAGAGTAACACATCCTAGCTAGGCTTCACCTTCTGCAAGAACATTAAAACATTCTGCAGTGATTTAGAGATGCAGCAGATGAGGAAGGAGGGCTACGTTAACATCCTCTTGGTGTCTGTTGTGTAGGAAAGCACTGCTTTCCAAGTTCAGTCTGCTTCGAATTCTTAGTTGACATTATTGACCTTAAAGAAGAACAATCAATTTGTTCTGCCTTACCTGCTTTTATTCTCTCCTTAAAGAAATATGTTGATTTGCCATAAGCCTTAACAGTACAGGAGTTTTGCTTAGGTTCTATAATGCTTTTCTTTTCTTTAATTTCTTGCTCAGAAGTATGCCCTATGTCTAGTCAAGCTTGTTTAAGCAACGGAATAACTTGATAGGTTTTTATTAGATTCCTCATTTTTCACATTTTTATGTTTGTAATGGATGATTAAAGATTTACATTATTGAACATCTTATTCTTTTTCTCTCTCCAATGCACCTACATGGAAATTAGAATTCACTTCAATGTGTTTTCTCTTAATAGTTTGATTTAGCCATCTTAACGTCCCGAATTCAGGAAAAATGTTTATCAGAGCATATTTATTATTGAAAACCAATTTATTGAAACAAATACATTATCATCTGCAGTGATTGAATTCTTTCTAGTTATTTCCATTAAGACTCCTGAAATGAGTTAAATAGATCTAGAAAAGCACAGGAAGAACAGGCATGCTAATGACTATTCAAAACAATAGCACAAATGCAACTATGCCTCTCAGCTAGTTCCTAAAGATTTGGTTGCTACGAGCACGTAATAAGGAAGAGTTACATGATAACCGCTCTTTTTGTCCTCCATTTCTTTTTCTTCTGAATCTAATTCCAGCCACTGACATTGTCACATGCTCTTCTACAGCAGAGAAAATGTTTCTTCACTTTCATTTGGTTCTTGTAATCATTAAAAACCATTAACAGCCCTAATAGTGTAACACTAGAACAGGCTAGGAACTGGAGTGTGGAGAGGAGACAGTCGGAAACTCAGGGTTTCCTTCTTCAAAAATTAATAGCAAATCAAGTTGTTTTGCCAGTAACTTTCCTAGCAGAATGGTTTGGTTTCTCTTCAAACTTCAGCATTCCCCTCCTCTGACATTTTGAAACTACATTTCCATTACTGTATTGCAACCCTACCGGTTGGATGGGGTTTGGAGCAACCTGCTCTAGTGGAAGGCGTCTCTGCCTGTGGCAGGGGGTTGGAACTGGATGAGCTTTAAGATCCCTTCAACCCAAAGCAGTCTGGGATTCTATGATATTCTTTGAAATCATATTTGTCTAGAAAACCTGCTGAGATGCATGCACGAACCCTAGAGGAAAGGTTTTACCTGTGTACTTAGCAATGTTATCCAGCAGAAGGGGGTACTTAGTCAACCTCTGCATCTCTGTGGGAATAATATCCTTCAGCTGCAACCGTCGACACAGGGGATTACTCTCAGCATCCTAAATTTAAACAGCACAATATCTGCATTTGTCATTTTTATTAAGGCCGTAATTACCTGAACATGTAACATCCATTCATCACATAAACATCTATTACTTCACTTTCCAGTAATTAAATACAAGAAATGCCAAGATCTATCATTCAGACAACACATCCCCTCTCCATGTGCAATTACATATAAGAAAGGCTCATTACAAAAGCAGCAGCTTCCTTCCCTCATTACTTCACAGGGGCCTGGTACCATCTCCAATCAATCTCAATCACCACCATACAGGGAAGACATCAGTGTAGGCTTTCACACTATAGCAAAACTCCAGTACATTTTTCAATGTAACCTCAACCCTTGTATTACCAGTTTTCACAGCTTGTGGTAATGAAGATAACGTTCTCTCCTCCAAATGCCACATGTATTCAAGCCCCTTTCCTGGCAGGCAGAATAGGTGCATATCATCTGCCTTCTGCCCGTGACATGCATGAAAATTGCACTAAAATGAGCAGTTTTCCCACAGATTATACATCCTTAGGAAACAGCTACCTCAAGTGAGATGCCATCTCCTGCCTGGGACAGCATGTGCTTCCCTGCACCCTATCAGGACACTCTGTGTTCCCCAGAATGAAAGGCTCCTCCCTCCAGAAATGATTAGCAGAGATAAATACAGTACTGGAAATGATCCCAATCTGAAGACAATGTCAGACATGATGTCATTAATTATAACAACTTTATCTACAGCCATTCATTATGCTACGCTGGCCACCAGCCACATCCTCAGGCAACTCAAAACCCTTGCATTCAATTCACCTGCACAAAGGTCTGGAAGCGAGAGTCCTTCTTCTGGCGTGATTTGATGACCTCCAGAGCAAAGGGCTGGTTACTGCAGAAAGTGGCAGTTGCAAGTTTCAGCTTCTCCTCTGCTGGTCCACTAAACTGTGCCAGAAAGCAAAGAAAGCCAAATTTAGACAGACTCGAGTTCAGCATGTGCCGCATTCAACAGACATTTAGCCACGTAGCACAACTGGTCTTGCCAGGGAAGAAAGGAATTGCTGGCAAGCCATGAGAAGTAATTTCCATCCTGGTTCTAAGGCCTTGCCTTCCTAATGTATTGAGGAACCCCTTGACGCCTCGAACTCTACAGTTCTCCTGTCCCCAGCTCTAGCACATCCAAACCTTTCCACCAATGCACTGCTGAGTTAGAGGGAGAATACAGGGCCACGTCTCCACTGTAAGCCTTAAGGAGAGCAGCGAAAACGGCACTCAGATGAATGACAAGTATTTAACAGAGAATTGGGCACCAAAGGTCATCTTGTCTCTCTGGGCCACCTATGTTTAAAAACCAGAATATAACAAATCCTCTTATTTCCTAAACGAAAAGTATTACAAAACCATGGCTAGGGGAAGCGATAGCCATAAGCAGGACTGAGAAATGTGCTGCAGGTAACAGATGGTTCATCTGTTACTGAAACTGCAACTCTTCCCCTTCTGCTACCCAGACTGTGATGGAGAGTAGTAAGTCCTGAAAACTCTCTAGAGAATGTGGCTTTTTGTTTTATCCACTTGGCCAGAACATCATGCAAGGGCACATAACTATTAGCTTAAGGTCTAGCTTGCTCCAGCAAGTAGTTTCTTGCTTTTCCCTAACACGCAGAAGAACTGAAAGGGTTGGAGGCGTTTCTTTACCAGCCACATCTGATTTTCATTTTCTTCCCTTCTTTTTTTCTGGAATACTAGACAAACAGTGGGATATAAAAAACCACCACAAGAGACTTCGGCATGAAAAGCTCAAAAGAATAAGCAAATCAATCTTCAATCCTAAATTAAGTCGGCTTGAAAACAAACAGCAAACTGGGAGATTCCCAAGAGAGAATTTGCTTTTCCTAAACGGTCTACATCACTCCTGCTCCTGTCATTTGGAGCTCATAAAAGAAACCAGAAAAGGTTCAGCTATATGAATTCCAGGATTGGAAACAGGTATTTTTACCTATCCTTTAATTGCACCACAGGCAACACAAGACTTAAATCTCAGTGTTACAGAAATAAATTGTGTCATTACATTCTTCCAAATCCTACTCTCACCTTTATGTCTCCAAAATTACCTTTCTACTCTACCCACACAGCACAGGGAAATTATTTGTTCTTCCTTAAATTACCCTTGTCTCGAGTCAAATGACAACCCTGCAAGTTCTTCCTGCTTTTGTTCAACCCTCATTCTCTAGTCCAGTGATGGCTCCATAGAAATGACAGCTCTAAGGCCTTTAGTTCCTATTAATTGGGAATAACCTTCCCAGTTAATATATATATTACAACTAACCTCTGGCTCTGGTTGCCATTCTAGGAAACATTATTTTCAAGTAGAAAAAAAGCAATAAAGTATTTTACCCAGGAAAGCAAGTCTTCCCCAATTTGGCCAATAACAGATGTCTCGTTCCTTTTTCGGATGGCTTTCATCTGATCATTCAATGCAACTTAAAAACAAAAGAAGTCAATTTTATTAATACTGCTCCAATAGTTTGCTTGAGTTTCAGCAATTATTTTAAAATTGAAGCTATTCTAGGAAAAGAGTAGATTTGCAATGACTTCAATTAACTTTAAAAAAGAAAGTGTCCCACGACCTAATACATTTGGCAGAGTATCTAAGAAGGCACTGCCTAACTCCCTTGCACTTCTGCCTCCCCTGTCATCAAGTGGCCCCTAAGAACCTTCCCAATCTTATCTTTTCTGAGGATCTCTGCCTTCTAAAAACACAGGAATAACGTTGAATGCACTTCAATCCACCTGCATAAAATGATACAAGTGACTATTCAGTGGCAGAGCCAAACCTGATTCTGACTAGTCCTTCAGCTACCCAATTAGGAAGAGCTATCCTTCAAAACCACCTGCAAAACATCAATCTCTCCATGTTTGTTTTCATATCCTGTTCACCAACAGTTGTAACATTTTCAGTGTTGACCCATAAAGACCATTCATCAAAGCACTGCTCCTTTTATCAAAGCCTGAATCAGCACAAGAGAGTCTGTGCACACAGATAAGAAAAGGCAAGTATCTGAAACACTGGGCACATGCATTCTTTATCGAGATATCTTTGTAAATCAGAAACGGAAAAACAAACTGTGTGCAAAAGGAAGGGGAACAGCTGTAGCATTCTTTCTCAGCTGAAGTGTTTTATGAGGTTGCCTCTTGTTTGAGGGTCACTTGCTTAAATTTCTCAGGTATTTGCAGCCAGGATCCCAGCTGCTACTACAGAGCTGAAAGGCTCTGTACCACCTAGTTATCACCTCAGCCGCAATTACCATGAAGCCCAAGGATGTCCTCCAGGTTTGAAAAGATCTTCCGTTTGTCACTGGAGTTCAGGATCCCCTCCCGGGTGACACGCTGGTAGAAGACATTATGCAGAACCTTCAGCGTACGGACGTGAGCTCTCTCGGTGTAAAACAATTCTGGAGAGAGGAAAGCAGGAGTGTAAGCACCTGCTTAAGGAGGTGTGGAAACATGGGTCCAAACATGAAGCAAACAGCAGTCAGAAGTATGAACTTTGAAAACCTTCCCTCATGAATACTTGCTAGCCCATAATCCATCTTGCTCCAGAACAGAGCCACGCTCTGCTATACTTCCATGTTTGGAAGAACAGAGAAGACAACTGGTTCGTGCCTTATCATTCTCCCCAAACAGTGAGCTCTTAGCAGCTCATACAGCCACAAAGAGTGCTCTGCAGGACTGCAAGACCTGAATCAGATGAAGCTTTGAAGAGAAAGTTTGGTAGCAGCTTTCCATTTGCATCATGTGCTTTCCAACAGTCTACGCAGTGCCTCTTGCTTTCCTTTACAGAACATGATACTGCAAACTGGCCTTTCAGGGTCAAACCACTTAATATTGTTTATTTCTTCTCTAAGGACTGGATCAATCTCATCTCAGGATACTTTTCAGTCACATGTCCAAGTTTCACACACATGAACTCTTCCAGAAGTAACAGATGGCTACCACTTGGAGCAGGTCACTGAAGAAAGACCTAGTTTCAAAGGTTAAGAACTTCAGAGCCCCAAAGGACTGGTTTCAACTTTGTGCTTGGTGAGCTAGGAGAAAATCAAAAGCCATCTCACCATTAATTACTTCTTGGCGCTTGATTTCATAGGGTTTCAGCCCCATCAACACTTCCCGGCTCACGAGTTGCTGCCAGTTGGGGGGGTCCATGTCCACGTCAAAATCATACAGCTCGTCTTCACTTTGTACATCTGCGAAACCAACACTGTCCATCCTAACATGAAAAAATACGTCAGTACTTCCCACTTTAGGCACGGATGTAAGGAAGAAAGAAGAGGAAAACCTAAGTGTATATAACAGTTGTACAGCATTATGAATATGCCCTCCACGATAGCTGGAGGCTGTCAGATGTCTGAACCTATAGGCATATTTTCTAATTTTGCCCTTTACAGAACAACTAAGAGTGAATATCTGTTCTGGCAGTATTTTCGTAGCACTGGTTTCAGTGATACAGATAAAATAAGTCAATTATCGAGGTGGGGAAAGGATAGGATACGGTTTCTTTCATCCATCTAACTGCAGATACAGAGCTAACAGCAATACACAGGTTTAAAAAGAAAACATGGAAATCTCAGCTCCTTAATCCATCAATTCAAATCAGCAGATACAACAATCACAACAGTTCACTCATAGATCACGGGGCTTATCTGTGTATGATTCACTCCACCTGTCCTATATATGGATGTCAGTGTCTCATTTCATATATGCATTATTGAGGAAATGGAATGATCATGCAGAAAACTGCACTGGCTCAGAACAATGAACACTACTGCATTCTACCTTATAACCTATTACCATCTAAACAAACTCAGTGAAGTCTGAACATCTGTAAGCACACTCACTTGCGAAAAGGCTTTGGTGTTCCCATGTCAACCATTCTGCAAAGAACAAAAGACATTATTAGGGAAGCTTATGCAAGAATTGCACCCCACTCAGACGTTTCGTATCATTTCAGAGTAAAGGCATAACTTCCTAAGTAGAACACGCTGTCCATCTGTCAACTTCACCCTGATACATAGCTGTCTAGTACTACTGTAGTAGCAGACATAGACCACTATTGCCTACTTCTACCAGTGATGTTTAACACAAACGACTGGACTAAGCTTCAGCAGCCATTGTCACACCAACTCTCATCCAAGGCTCAAGCAACCAGAGTAGCACAGTTACCTCTCTGATTCTCCCTCCTCCTCCTGCAAGTTTTCCAAAGGAGATGGAAATTCAAAGGTATTATTAGGTGTGCGGGGTGTGCCTTCCATACAGTCAATAGCAGGTGGAGCTTCTCCAGTCTGCTTCAAACCTAAATAGAAAGCAAGTACAAAATGTCAAGAAAATAGAGCATATTGGAGAACTTCACGGCCTCTTCATAGCCTTTGGATTCCCAGCCTCATTTCAGGTTAGAGCTGGAAGAATTGAACTCCTGGGTGATTCCAGATGACACTGACTTGTGCTTATGAGAACAAGGCACCTCAGACTGTGTTCTTTTCCTGTTAGATGATCTGATGCCACAGTTAAGAGGATCCATCTGGCAACGATTTCTGGCCTTGATAACATTTCCTGATTTGAGCCAGAGAATATGCCAGAAAAGATGACTGAGGTAAAGAAGATCATTTTTAATGATATAAAATTGTTCCCTGATTTGCCAAGTTTGTTGCATCAGTCAAGGTCCTTTCCAACCCTACCCATTCTATGCTTCTGTGAGCAGAACTGTGCTTTGTATATCCTGTTCACAACACAATCTTGAATCACTCCTCTTTGCTAGTAACATCCTACCTGTTTCACTGTCCTTGCTTCCCTCTGGAGAGGAAAAGGGACCCATTGCCAAAGGAGACATTGGGTTGGCAGGTGGGTACGGCCCATCTGCTCCTTCACTGGAGGACCCACTCTGGCGCAGCTTGCTGGAATCTGGTGGCTCTGGGCTAACTGAAGATGCTGGAGGTACATGCTTTAGATGGCGGGGCTTTTGCATTTCCATGGCTCTGCCAACTGAACAAACACAGAGCCATTACACCACTGAAAGCTTTTACCTGTTTTCAGTGATGAGGAGAAGCAGCATTTCAGGACAAAATTAGCCTTCAAAAACATGTTTACAACCAAAATGTTTACTAAGTCCTCTTAGCATGGATTATTAAAACAGCAGAGACTTTATCTGGCTTTCAGATTAATATTTAGGAACATATATTTGCTTGTTTTACATACTTGCACTGCTATCATGTCGACTCGGTCTCCTTGGTGGGCCCAGAATATTAGGAAAGCCTCTTCTCTTTCCTTTTTCCTCTCCTTCTTTCTCTTTCTTGATACTTTGCTGCAGAAAAACAAAGCCAACAGTTCACTCATTTCTTCAAATGCAGTTATTTACTGAGATAGTGACTAATTCTTTAAAACAGCAGGAGTTTGGTACAAGAGAGTTTTATTTCTAGTAAGTTATTGCGAGGTCAACATCCTGCAGCATCAGAGGCAAAGACAGCCTATGGACACACTATGAATGGCTTAACATGGTTAGCAGCAGGGAGCCACAGTACCTGAAGAGATACATCTGTTATAAGCAAAAACATACACCCTGCTTTTAACTTAGCAGGACCCACTCTCCTCCCTAGGGTACGAGACTAATTCAGAGCGATCACTATCGCCTTGTTTCTCTAGGGCACAGCATCTTGTGGCTCCAAGCCTCTGTAAGCATACAGACTCCTATCTGGGAGACAGAAGTGCAACATATCTTACCAGTTCAGAAAGGTTGTGAATGCCTGAACTAACCTTTTAGCACTGTCAGTGCAGAACTGCTTGTGGCAATCTTAACATTACCAAAGAAGCTGGAATGCTGGTGAAAATAAGTAGCTACTGTGACCACAGACACCCCCATAATTGTGGGAGACAACTGAATACACCCACAGAGATGGAGTTTTAGTGGCAACATTCATTATATAACTGGAAAGCGTGGGTGGCAGGAAGAGCAGCTTTCCTGCATTGTGAAGCATGAGGTTTTGGGCAAGTTTCTTAAGAAGAAAACTAAAGCAGACAGGCCAACAGCCAGATTAGCGTTAATGAGATAGATACTCATCTGATTCAAGGTTGTATCAATTCTAAGAAACATTTCTCACCCCAAGTTTTAACAGGGCTAGGAATGTGAAAAACAAGCAGCTAGAATTTAGGCCTACAGGTAACCGAAGAAAGAAGACAACTCCTTTCTAATTCACGTGTCTGAAAACAGATGTAGCGCCCAATTTCAGCTCTTAGGTTTTCTGTGCAGCTCAGTAACCCCAGATCCTCTTGATGCTGCAATGAAGACTGTAAAATCATACCAACTTCCGATGTGTCATGCAGAAGTGGATCCTGAAATCCAACAAAGCACACAAGCTGGACAGCTTTAAACAAATGCACTCTGGTCACAACACTACTACCTTGATCTTTGGCAAGAAACCAATACGGCCACGCTTCTGCTCCAGGTTCCGAGGTTCTTTAACTTTGACTCCCAGGTGTTTCATGTACGTAAGAATCACATACTGCATTGTGGAACTGCCCAATACATAAAAAACAAAGAAGATGGAGAATAAGGAGAAATGTCAAATGCAAACTTTGTGTTGAGAAATTAACTATTTCTAGATTAAAAGAAGTTGCCAAGTTTTGGGGGTTTTAATATGAAACAAACTATTACAGACAATGGAAAAGACTCAGCTAATACCAGCATTTGTTCCTCTTGTAAGCAAAAGATGGAGTATATAAGCCTAGGAGGTAAATTAATTTTGAGCAGTACACAGAAGGTCTTAAAATGATATACCAAATACATACTTGCATTCATATTATAGTTTTGAGTTATTTTTCAAACTTAGTAACAGTAAAAGGTATGGCTGATGTAAAGAGTAGAGTAAAAGCTACCCAGTTTGTATACAAACTGAACAAGACAAGGCACATACACAGACCAGACTGAAACAGCTACAAGGCAAAACCAAAAGAAACACAAACTCTCAGTGACAGATCTGAAACAAAGGCGACAAACTTCAGAATCAGAAGAGTTTGAGAGCAAGAGGTTGATGCTCTGAGTTCCAGTGAATTATGCCAGGCGATTTAGAAAGAAGAGTTTGTGGCTATAGCCAGCAGAGGGCTGTCTTATGCTGCTCAGCAGAACACAGAGCCAGCAGTGGGGTGGGTTCTTATGCAAGCTCTATTACCTCTTGTCTTCTTCCAAAGGCTGAGATGTCATCCTAAAAACAAGAAAGACTTTAAAAACGAAACTCAAAAACCAATTAACACCCATTCACACCCACCCAAAGCATCAGCTGCTCTGTTCAAAGCATCCTTTCGAATGTCAACAAGTCCCAGGCGCTGGTATGGGGAAGGAAGGCTCATTCAGCTTACATTAGAAGTAAAACATGGGCTCTGAAAGGGACTCTGATCTAGTAATGCAGAAGGTCACAATGACAACATTACCTCTGCTATTTGAACAGCAGCGTCCTTGAAAACATACCTAATTTACCTAAATATTAGCTTACATTTGGCTATCATCACTCAAACATACATTGATAGCAAACAGGGGAAACAATATGAATGCAGTGACACCAAGTTGCTTCTATTACCTAATTCCTTTACTGTTTTTAGGTTCAGGGTAGAATCTTTTCTACCCCCACAATTAAACCTGCTGTTACTCACAAGACTTCCTCAATTTTAGCAATAATCTGTTCTGCACATGCTCTTTCCTTCTCCATTGCAATCCGGTCACGAACTCTCTCTGAATCCAGCTTGGTTAGCTCTCCTTCTGCCAGGGTCAATCCCATACTACGTTTCTGCCTGAAAAATGAGGAGAGGGAAGCACCACTTGAACTTGAGTACTGACCTGTAACAAGGAAAAGCAACCTCCTGACATTCTGAATGTCAAACAGGTTTCATTATTGGTTTCTGTACAAAAACGTTGAAGTCCTGACATTTCCTCGTAACATTTGTGCTCACTGTAAAACTTAGCTAAGATGGCCTTTGGAGAAACTATGTTGTATGGTATTTATCAAGAGAGGCAGCTACTGCACGGGTCAAGAAAAAGTAGTTACTCTTTTTGCAGCATCCCAGGTTGTGTATTTGAAGCATATGCTTGAAATGAGACATTTTTAGGTATAAATGAACACGTGTCTTGGTCTAATGTCTCATGTTGGCACTGAGCTCTTACAACTCCAGATGAAAGGGCATACTAATTATCAAATTCTACTATATGCCCATGACAACCTTCTGAAGTGAAGTCTTCTGTGCCCAAAGAGGAGAGAGAAGGGAAAAAGGAAAATAAAGGGGGAAAAATAATAAGGAAGATAAAAGCTGACAGCAAACAAAACTGGTACAAAGGATTTATATCATCTCACCTAGAGAAACAATGTTCTGAAATTGCCTCAAACAGCCTCAAGGAATGAAGAATCAAAGCTCTAAAACTGATCTTGCAATTACTTTGAACACAGTGTCAAAAACCATTCAAGAATTGGTCACAGGGTGACCCTGGAGGCCCTCTCCAGTGGCATCTTCCTATTTATTCAGTCCAAGATGAATTACTATGTCCCTTGAGTTTGGACTTGCCCTATACAGAACATGCTGACTGAAGGCAAGCATGAATTAAACGAAATCTACATGGATAACTGCTGTTACCTGAAATCTTCCAGATTCCTCTGAACTTCTGGACAGACTTTATCCTGCATAGTTTGTATAAACTGACGATGAAGCTCTTCAGGAAGGAGTTCTGGCCTTCTTCTGTCTGTAAATCAGAACAGATAATAGATTATTCTCTTGGACTGCCTCAGACAGAAGAAACACAGGAAGAGATAACCAAGGCAAGAGCACCCCTACCTAGTTCTAAGGAGATTTCATCTGGAACTGGAACTTTCAGGTTCTGCAAAGGAAAAGATCAGCTGGGAGAACAGACAGAGCAAACACCACCCCAATAAAACACACAGTACAAAACACACAAGAAAATCGCCTCACAAGCTCAAGTCACTCAACCTGAACACCTGATGGTATAAAGGGGGAAGACTCCCATTTTGAATATATATTATATTACAGAAGGATTATTTCACCTAAAGACATGGTTCTAGCCTCTGCTACACTATCTGGTAGACCAATTTAAGACAGCATAGAAGTTTCTCAGATTTTCCAACAGATACACAAGATTTCCCAATCCTTGTAATAGCTACATCAATATATGCAGCAATTATTAACTAAAAGACAATGTATAACAGCTAGAGCTTGCTTAGGTATTAAAAACCTGTTTCTTCTACCAGACAACACACTCCCTGTGATTTACTGAGTTACCAGGCACCTATGGCTGTAATTTGCCACATTCACTGGCAACATCTAAACAAGAAAACCTTCTTATTTTGGAGGACTTAAATAACTCCTTAGTTTTTTCCAGTTCAGGAGAGTGGAGAGGGGGAAAAGTCAACTTGCTAGATAAACTTGAAAGTGAAAGAAATGACTGGAACATACTGCAGCTCGGTCCAAGAAGAACTGGTAAAACTCAAGGAAGACACGCCGAGTCTCTTTGGAGTTGGTCTGCTTGTACAAGTCTGTGTAAAGGTAGCACAACTGCGGGTAACAGAAGGGAAGAAATTATTAAGCAATACCACGAGAACTCTTCTAACACCTCTAACTCTAGTTTTTGTTCAAGTATTTCAAGGAATTCAGTGCTGGTGGGTTGAAACTCTTCCTAACTATTTTGAGCCATCTGGGTGGCTCAGGTAACCCCAGCTTGGCTGCCCTGGTAATCAGCAGAGAAGGGAAGGGTGAGGGTGGGCAGGAAGAGAGAGGAAAAGGGATCAGACCTTCCCCATAGAAAACTGATCCCACCTCCTCAGGGTACAATTAAATGCTTTCAAGAGCTAAATCCTTATTTGTAAACAACTGAATGTAAGGGAGGCTCTTTTCATGCTTCTCTTCATTTATCTGAAATACTCTCAGGCCCGCACAGGATCTGCATTTCTCTCCTTGCCGATACAGCCATGTCACTGACAATGCTATATAAGAATAAGGAAATCCTGATAAACTGGTTGAGATTACCAATTTGGGCCAGGACAGCAATTCCAGATCATCTTACCAATGCTGCAGGGTCAAACTGGGACACCACATGATGCAGAAGAACAGCCAGGTGAGCTGGGCGAGATTTCAGGAGCTCAATGTTTTGGAAACAGCTGCACTGTCCATTAATCTGTAGAGAGGCATGGAAACTATTTCAATTATTCAAGAAAGCCATTGGTAGAAAACCCAAGAAGCTTTGTTCCAATAGCTCAGCTCCTCATTTAATTAAAACTGATCAATTCCAGACCCTTTGTGATGCCATTCTCACATCCCAGAAAGCGCTCCCAAGCACTGAGTACTGTATAATGAAATATAATCCAGAGCAAAGGACAGCTAAAATAACTCCACATAAGTATGTCAAAAGCCATGGCAGCTATATTGCTGTGACAGCAACAGAAGATATCAAAGATGGCATACTGTTGAATGAATAATTCTGGTCGAGGGAGGAAAGGGGTGGCTAAAAGTCATTCTCACCTGCTCCTGTTCAGTGTCAAAGTCATCATCCTCTGCTCCAATGATCTGAGGCACCACTCGTGATAAAGGACTTCCAACACTGGACTGGGAATCCTGTGGTGAGTCAGAATCAAGGGAAAAGAAGGGCAGGGAAGGGAAGGAAGAATGTACAGGGTGATTTCACTCTTGGCACAGTAAAACTTCTTTACCAAGTTAGAAATACTGATCCCAAAACCCAGTGGAAATCCATTTGTCTTTACTCAACCTTGCCCAATTTTGCAGTTACAAGATCCCCTTACAAATGCTTCTCCCAAGTTACAAGCACTCGGAACAGATTAAATCAGATGATTCAAAACCAACTGCATCATATACAGACATGAGCACATTAAGCATGTGGCATATGACAAATGCCATCTTAGTACAAATGGAGAAATATGACTTTCGAAAGTCAAGCAGATGAGGGGAAAAACATTTCAGAAGCCATCCTAAGGAAGATAATGCGTTCAGCTAGGTCTGCACTTTCTGCTATGTTTCACTTCTACCTAATCTTGAGCCCATAACTGACAATGCCAGCCTCATAATGACCAAATATCCTAAAGAAAAGACTTCATCATTTACTGCTGGACTCGAGGAATAAAGTATGTACAACGGCTCTACCTGTTCTAGGTCCAGCTGGTTTACTGCTGATGGTATGTTTCACAGCTCTAAATGTGCCTGCTCTTAAGCTCCATAAACATTTACTCAGCTAATTAACTTTCCCTGCACAATTTTAATTGCATTTTAATTTCTAAACCAAAGTTTATGCATGCTTCATCTAGACAGTGGAGAAACCCGGCAAGGTTTTAATGGGCCCATTACAGGAGATGCTGTTGTGACACTTTATGTTTTGTACTCACAGTATCTTGAACCTCAGCCTTTTCTGGGCTCTCATCTGGATAAACCCGCTCCTTCAAGCCACTGCGAGGACTCTGGACAAGAAGGAAGTTCAATTCTGGTTAAGTACCAGCAAATCCAGGAAAATGAGAGCTGCACAGTTATGTCTTTCACCCACAACAACCAAAACTTCTCCTTTCTGTCAGAGTGGACTGTTAGACATGCAAAAAGCATGTGCTGTTGGCTTATCTTCAGTGTGTCCACAGTAATATCCAGGCGTTTGACTGTCTGGTGTGCCAGTCACCTCCAGCGATCACATACCATCCACAATACTAACAGGATGAATTTGATTTGGAAGATAGCTGTGAATTTTGTTCTGCATTTACTATATACAAACATGGGGATATCTAGTCAGGTCTGGAGCTGGAACGTGGCAAAACAGTCCCGCATGTTCACGTTTTAGAGGTGTATCTGACCCACTTTCCTTTTACTTCCAAACACAAGTACAAATTTAGCTCCAACATCCTTAAGTTAAACCACAAATTTAGGCCAAAACCCAAGTACACAGTCTCAATTGCTCTGCACTAATCAGATAGTGACTTTTAATTAAGGATTAGGTGCTAAGGCACTCCAATGGGGAGACCATACAAGCACACAGATTGATAACTAATGAGTGAACAGATTAAGAGCCTTTACTGCTGGCAATAATTGAAGCTTATTTGGTACAAGTAAGGCTCTTCCCCAGTTTCATGGCAACTTGCCCACTGACTAGATCTGAATCACAGCTACCACAATTGGAACATTACCATACTCTTAGAAGATGCTCTAATTGGCACCTCTGAGTTCTGAGAAAGATGCTGGCATCCATCTTTCTTTGTCTGGTTTCAGGGATTGTGCCAGGAAAATCTAATCCTGCATAAAAACCCAAACCCCACACTATTTCTTCCCCAATCCTAAGAGAAGTCCAATATGGTATGTTTTCTTGTGAATTTATTTTGGTGTGTACTGAGAAGCCTGTTCTTGTAATACAGTGTTACTGAGTCAGAGTACATATGTATGATACACAAGACAACACAAGCACAAAGAATCTCTACTAGAAAGCTAAATCCAAGCCATATAAAAGCAAAGTCATGGAGCTATTGAAGACTCACATCAGTAATGTCACTGTTTGGTCGGGAGAGGCTGTCACCACTGTAATCTAGTTTGCTCACACAATCCCCACTCTCTGCCTCCACTTCACTGATCTGCAGCGAGTCCGTCACAGACCTGGAGGACAAGACTCCATCCTACAAAGATAAAGTGAGTTGGAAGACAGCACAGAGCAAGCAGAGCATTTCAAGAGTCAATCCTTAAACCCTGCACTTACTGTTTTAAAAGCACTTTTTCACTGTTGATTTGAAAGTCCATTTTAAAGCCTACTTCACATATTGACATTGCACACTGCATCGCTTGACAGCCTCTGCAAGCCTAACTACAAGTCTCAACTCTAGAGGGTGCCATTTGCCTGTACAAGCACACGGCAGGGAGCTCCTGCTTGCCCACAACATCATCATCCCCCAAGAATTTTCACCCGGAACACAGCACAGAGAAGCCTGACACATTCTGTTACCTGAGTACAGCCTGTGGCTTTGGACAACTGCTCTTGCAGCTGAGGAATGTGCTTCTTCGCTTCCTGTATCTCTTTGAAGAGCCGTGTGGCGGGTGATCGGTTATACTCTTCTTGCAGAGACTGAAAGACAATTTTAAGGGCTTTTGTTCAGTATCTGGTCGATAGCAAAGCTTAGAAATACAACCTGCTACTGCTTACAATCCCCACTGACACATTTAAACCAATAGACAGCACATCTGCACACCTACTAAGTGGATGCAACAGAAGGGCCATTTTATATAGCTCCCCTCTCTCTCCTGTGCCACACACAAAAATAACCACACTCTGGAGATTCCCTGGAATCCCTCAAAGATGCTTACTTGCCCATGGATTAGATCAGACTGAGGGATATGTACATTGCCACTTTGGAAAGTGACTAGATCTCTGGTGTTAGGCTGGGATAAAGAAAAGCTAAGCTGAAACACAAGCAATGCGTGGGAATGTTGAAGATGCTGCTAAGGAGTGATTCAACAACTGATCTTTGTTATTTGCATCACACTTTGCTCCACCCCTCTCCAGCTCTTGCAACTCCAGTACCTGCAGCCGTTCCTGCTCCTTCTGTAACATCTTTCTCAGAATCTCCACCTTCTGGTTATGGACAATATTATTCTCCTCCTAGAAGATACGGAGAGAGTAAGAGATGGGTTTTTTGGTGGGGCTGGGAAGCAGGACAAGGCAAATGGATATGCCCACTTTTCATCCACTTCCTGACTACAGGCTTTGAAAAGCCCTACAAGAAGCAAAACAATTCAGGAAAAAACATATCTACGACTACATTTCTCCCACTGCTACGCTGTTCTTCGGAAAAAGAGCTTTAAATCTTACCCCCACAAGCACTGGGCTAGTAATCCTTTCCGCATTTCCTGATGCGACAGGCGAATGGGGAGATGTCATGATGGGAGACATATGACCAAACGCTGCCAGATCCACTTCAGAATCAGCTAACGGAATCTGAGGCGACCCTGGTGGGCGCCCCTGGACAGTGAGAGCTACATAGGAACCCGCTGCAGGGAGAACAAGAACAAGACACGCTTGCAGATTTCTAGGGTTGCTGGTTCTCTGCTTGTCATTTTGCCCTAGAGACCAAACTCAGACCATTCTTCACCCATCTGTTCTTCAAACCAGAGATCCTGAGAGCACCGACAGCTCGGTTTTAGAGACCTCCGATTAAAGCTCAGGTAATCCAAAAACTTTCACGTTAATCATACTGCAGAAAAGCACACAATCCAATTTCTAGCCCAGCAGGTTACATCTACCAGGTTGCATTTACAGTATACATACGCTCATGCCACAAAATAAACTTTGCTAGGCTGGAAGGAACCACTACCCCCTTCTTCCTTGCACAAGAAAAGCAACCAAGAAGGTACTTCCCTTTAGAAACACCAGTACTCTGAAGGCATCATACAATAAGGGGTGTCGAATAGCTACGGTATTTAACATGGACTCAGAAGATGGGAAGACTCATAGGCAAGGTTTGATGGTAACTTCAAACACCAACCCAAGGAGAAGCTGCAGAAGCATGTAGAAGCTCAAGTTTGAGATGTCAAAATTACCCCAATTTCACTTCACTGTTTCACACACATCCTTTATCTCTCAGCATGGGGCATGGTTAGACCTTATCCTTCTCACTTGACAGCTGAATCAGTCATTTGCCCTTTATAATTATGCCTTTCGTGCTTTAAAGGAGCACAGGGACAGAAATAGTAATCTGCCATTACTTACACTTGATCAGCTTTACCACCTCCAAATGGTTTGAGTGTGTTACGAGAGTGCCATTCACCTGGGGCAGGGAGGAAGGGAAAGTTATCAGTGTTTAGCTATTCATTACCAACTTCTAACACTTTATCTCAGTGAGCAGAGCTCTGCGAGAAGAAAACCATACACACATCCCCCAAAGCAAACCAAGCAACACATAAAGAAATTAGCAACCCACCTCTGACCAGGAAGAAAATGTATTAGAGTAGCTAATGCATTAATTCAAATGCTTAGTTGAAATCACAGCTCTGTCTGAGGCAGCGACTGCAGCACAACCGTCATTTTGCAGCAATAGTTTAAATATCTTTTTAGTTACTGACTTAATTTCTTAGTTGTTTGGGAGGAAAAGAGAACAGGGAGAGATCATTTAAGACAAAGGACCCAGATTTCTTTGATGATTTGAATGCCCTTACCTTGATAATTCTATCCCCTGTTTGCACTCCAGCCCGCATGGCTGCTCCATCTAGAGAGGCAAGAAATCATTTAGTTCAATTTCAACAGAAGCATTCAAAACAAAGAAGGTTTAAGGACTTCTGTAGCTCCACGCAAAGCTATTTCCCACACTCACCCAAACTCCCCCTGCCTCTATCACATTAAGATCCCTTGAGTACCCAGACCAGAGCACTTCTGTTCTTATTTTACATCAAGCCACAATCCCATCGCACTTATTCCGCTCAGACACAAGAGGACAGTTTCCAAACGCATCAGTTCACTGCATCCCAATTTGTCCTTGAACATCTATTCCTCAAGCTACAGCCATCCCATTTTTGAGGAGGCCATTTGGAGTTTTCACCTCCAGTACATGCACATGTTTCTCCAGTTCACATGAGAACTCTCTAGGCTGTTCTCTGGCTACAACATCCAGCAAGTCTGCTTACCTTCTTTGACGGACTGCACGAAGACTGGATTGTCTCCACTGACTGTCAGCCCAAAACCGTTTTCATCCCGTTGGATAACAACACACCGTTGAACAAGACCTGCATAAGAAAGGTGGGGAAAGGGCAGAAGAAAGAGAAGGAGAGAGATACAAAGAGACACAAGCTAGGCATCAGTCCAAAACCTTATCCTCCTAGATAATCACAGAGTACTGGAAGAAACTGGTGTAATACAACAGAGGGGAAAATATATATGAGAGACAGAAACAGGGCATCAGTCCAGAAACAGATAGGAACATCAAGACAGGTCAAGCTTATTGCTTCAGTTACATGAAACAGAGATATACAACAGCAAAGATGCAGACAGCTCTGGCACGTCAGACACAACTTGAGGCAAAAGCAGCTTTTAAGGAAGAGCAACTATATGTATGAACCAAAGAGCATCACTTCCCTTTGTCTGGATAGGTCTCCGAAGTACAGCAGAGGGCTGTCATGGTCCAGTACACCATCCAAAACACCAAACATCTTTTACAAGCTGCTCTACTAAAGAACTCACAAATTGCTCAGACCAACAGCAGCAGCTTGGACTGAAACAGATTTAAACAGGAAAAGTTCTCCCAGTTCTCAGCAAAAAGCTCATCTTGGGGCATCTTCTGTCAGAGATGAGCTTATCGCTCACAACCAGAGCAGCAGCAGTAAACAAGTACAGGCCATGCTTACTACCCTGAACAGATCAAGACCATGTTCCCCACTGAGCCAAAATACAAGGAGATGCAAGTTTGATTCTGCTCCTCCTTTAACTTGCTGTGTGACATCAAAGGTAACTTGTTTTGTTTCCCTGTGTTAGGATTACTCCATATAATGGGAACATAAATACTGCTGCAGAGATAAATGTACCTAGCAGGTGCAGCATTTAGAAAAGGTGCAATGCTGTGTATGTCTACTGTTCACCTGAAAATGAACTGAACATCAGCCTTACTTTTATCAGCTTGCTTTGCTTCTTCAATTCAGACACCAGTGTCTGGAGAAAGAACTGGAGCTCTCCACAGATACCAAAAGCGCACCAGTTTCATTCAGGACAGAAGGAGCAAAGGGAATTGTGAAGATGCTGTCCCAGCAAGACTGTCTTTCCTGCAGTCATTTTTAAGGAATTCCTTGTAACTGAGTGTGGAGTCATACGCAGGTCTTAAATTACTCTCGCACCACTACAGCTCCTTTCATTTCTCTAGAGCAACTCCTAATGGAAATGAGAAGCCTTAAGTGAAAATACTGTCTGCCCAGTCAGCCCTGTACTCCTCCAGTGTAGCATATACCAAAATGGGTGTGGGAGTAGTGGAAAAGGTTGTATTCCAGGACTTCAGCACCAGCCTGATCATAGTATCAACTTCCCCTTCTGCCAATAAAGTAGAGGCAGATTATGCTATATACAGTTATCTGTAGTAAGCTGATGGAATGGATGCAGGGTGAAAGCAGAGGAAGAAAAAACCCCACCACCTTTCACACCCTCTTTATGTAGTTAAGTGAATTAAAATGCCTCTCCCTTTTGTACCTCCCATTCTTCTCTAGGACCAAGCTTCTTTAAGTCTCACTTCACAAGAATGATGCCCCAGGGTGGGGTGTGGGAAAGAGAACACATGCTATTCCATAAAAACAGCTCCTTCTAAATCCTGCTGCCAGACGTACAGGTTTTATGAGTAAGGCACTAACTAATCTTTTGACTCACAAGGACTGTCCCTGTTTAAAGGCACAGTATAGCCCTGCGTAGTGCCCTTCCACTGAGTTTCTTTCTTTTCCAGCACCAGTAACCCTTGAATCTACTGATAAGCTTCCTCCTCCAATGAACCTGATGCCAAAGTAGTGGCAATGCAGCAGGATGTGCAACACATACTGACCCTACAATTTAAGTTCCAAGAATACCCTTGGAATCAAATGAAGCTGTTTCACACCACACATCCCAATTTCACCCAAGACCACCTTTTCATTTTTGAATTGGGAGGCAAGAGAAACGAGGACGTGAACACAAATTAGTCCATAATTGTTTTTTTTCCCTTCATTTATTCCCTTTCAGACAGGAAACAGGCACTTAACCCTTCTCCTAATACAACAGCAAAGGCTGGAACAAGGTCCAGGCAGACCAGCTGGGAGATACCATGCTCTATAGTGATTTCAATGAAGTTACCTGAAAGTTTTCTGAAGATAACAGTATTACCTCCTGCAGAACTAGATCAGCTCTGATAGCATTCCCTGTCTGGACCACACAGACAAAAAAGAGCAGCCTTCAAATGCTCTCTTTTACTCTGCTGTGAGGCAAAACTAGCAGTGACCCTCTCCAATGTGTCATCTGCCCACTTTTGTTTTTTTAAGTAAAATACATTCAATGTGAAATCTGCTTATAGGAGTGGAATTTGAAGACTAGAGCAGCAATGTTTTCATAACCCACATCTTGTGCCTTGAACACCTCATTAGGCACTCTGGAATGAACTTAAAGGAAAGCCACAAACCACTGAGAGCTCAATGACACACAATGTATAGTTTCCAATAGCTGCTACCGTCACGCCTGGTATCACAAGTACATACAGGAATCCTCGTATTAAATTAGTAACTACACCAACTTCACGCACTTTAATTAAAGTCTATGAATTTGGGGCAGCAGCGAAGAGCCCATGTTACCAATCAGCTCTGCATTCCCCTTTTTTGCCTTCATGTTGCAATTCCTAGTGTTCTCTAGAGGGAATGAATGGAGTCATTCATTTTGAAGTATCTTACCATGATATTTCACTTTTTCCCCCGACAGTTAACATTACAAGGTCAACAGATTCCTCACTGCCAGTACTCAAATCAATAACCATCTTATTCCCACCTTCACTTTCACATGACAGTATCTGGCTGGCATAAAGCAAGGAGACATCCCTGTTAACTATGTTCTAAGTACACAGAATCAGACCACATGTCTGGTCTAGCTTCAAGCCAAGAGTACAGTAGATCTGCTGTGTGCTGCCATTCAAGAGGTTTCAGATTAAAAATGAAAGCAGTTAGAAATGCCCAGTCTCAGACAACAGGAACTGCAAGAAAAGCCAAGCGATAAGCTCTTCAATAGGTGGTACTCTTCCCTCTGCGACACCATGGCTCTCAGTTCTCCAGCCCCATTATAAGGGTGCCTTTTGGTTAGTGGGAAAGGTAAAGTCCAACCTTCTCAAGGTCACTGACACCACTGTAAAAAAGATTGTATCAGTCTTGACAGATACATTTTGACTGTCCAAGAGCTTCTCTAGTAGAGGGACCATTCACCTTCTTCACTTCTACACATCCTAAGTATCTGGAAGTCATTCACTAAAATAGGAAATTTCATTTCTCTAGCAGTGCACACCAACCAGAGCAGGGGTCCATTCTGAACCTGACTCACTAGAGTGAACAGAGACCTGAATTACATCTCCCATAAGACAATGAAGCTTTTCGTCTGATCAAACTGTGTGGGACATAGCATGGGAGGAGACTCGTGAACTATAACCTCCCTGGAGGCATGAGGCCACAATGGGAAAATGCAGTTTAATATAGTGATTTGACATGAATCATTCAATAAACAAAAACAAACTCCTCGGGGTTTTTGAGAGTGTCCAAATGGTTCATTTCATTTGGGAAGCTTTATTTCTATCAAATACTTTCAGAAACGCTGCTCCACAACGTACATAAAACTATCAGCTTATATTCAGAAAACATCTCATAGGATGAGATTCTGGATTTCACTTGGGTCTGCTGATTACAGTGGTCTTCAGACCAACTGCCATAATGGCAGCATTCCTCAGATTCTTCCACTAACCTGGTAACAGAGGACATGTAAAGTCAGTGCAAAACCGATATTGTTTGAAATCAGTGCAGTGCCTAGTTAAAACTGTTAATAACAATGGCACTGAACACTGTGCATAAAACAAGGCTTGGTAACCTTTCTCAGAGAGAGAACCATGTATTTTACCCATGATAAATAGGACTATCTGCTCCCATGGCAACGACACATTCAACCCCTGTGGTCGAGTGCCCCTTGCACTCCCAGCCCTTTCTGGCTATTATAAGGGTAGTGATGAGGGGCTCCCAAGAGTCCTTTTAATAGTCTGGCAAAAATGGTGGCCACAACATAAAGACACAGGGCTGACAAGAACTGCAAGAAATAAAACAGGAGAAGTAAATTCACTTTCAAAATATCTCAACAGGAGCAAAATCTGGGGTTTCAAACACAAAGACTTAAAAACTTATCCCCAAAGTTGTTAAGAATGTGTGAAAGAGTATGCATACAACCTAGTCTATTATTTGGACCAGAAACTGATTGTTACTATATATAAGGGAAGATATCCTTGCAGAGCAAACAAGGGAAAAGGGAAGACTAACTGTTATCCTTCAATTCTAAATTCACTTAAGAGACAGGAGTTCTACAGGTATCAAGTACTGTGGGAGGTTACGGGACTCATTAGTAAATCACAGCAGATCTGAAACTCTACTCACTCTCCTGATCATCTAAGCTTTGTTAAATACACAGACACGAGATGGTTGGGTGTATGGAAGAAGTAAGTTTCATGGCACTATAAATCAGCTTCTGTATATTGGAACAACTTCCCTACCTAACCACTCTGCCCTCCCGAAGCCACTCATACTTCAAGAAATTCAGGTCCCTTGCTCCTTAATTAAGAATTCCAAGAGGTAAGAACAAACACATAGACAAAAGCCACACCTCCTTTTGCTGCTGTCATTCAAGACTTCTCTATTATTCACTGTCCAATGGCTAGCCAAAGAAAGAGCCAGCTAACATCCAGTCACCAGCGAGAAACCTATCAGTACAGTATTTCTACTTGTAGGGTTTCAAATACTTTGGTCCCATCCAAAGCAAACAGCACACTTCTCTACACATACCACAGAACCTGGGGAAAGCAGAGGGTAGAGAAAAAAGGCAGGGCGAGTTCCAACACAGCAAAGGCCACTGGAAAGGAAGGATGAGTGGAAACTGCTCCCATAGATACTGGACACGGTAAAGCATCTGCAGGAAACTTTGGGGGAAGCAAAGGCTTACATTAGGAAGTCATGTTTCTTTCTGCCACACATGAAAAATCAGGACACTGTACAGACTGAGGGAGAAGTATAAACACAGATACATTCCATCAAGCATACCAAATGTTTCCTGTAATTAACCTACAATAGCTTGACAGCACCTCCAGTATATTATGGGTAAGCAGCGTTCGGCAAAAATTAGTCAAGCCCAAAACAGAGGGATCCAGTCAACCTGACTGTGCTGTCACTAACCAGGGCCTACCTGGCAAGGGGAAGAACTGGCCAAGGCTTCAATACAAGCTCATCAGAGGCATCATCTTAAAATGCTTTTCAAGCAGGCCACTTCCCTGTTCATTGTTTCTGAGCATGGGAGGAAGACGTACAAGCTGCAGCAAGCCAGGTCTCCCCAGGACAGGTTTCCAGCTCTACTGAAGCAAAGCAATGCACTCTCAAAACCTGTTTAGTTTCTGAAGGAATAGTCTCACCCCCCGAGGAACAAGACTGTCATATTTTCTTTTTCCCTTAAGAAAAGTATGTGGTTCAAAATTCCAGGGGAAGTTAAGAGATCTCATTTTCACAGACGGAACAGACTGCACCTCCCTAAACTGCACCAACCAAAAGGGGTTTGCAAACGTGCCTATGTTGGTTCAGAAGATGCTCTTCAGGGGTGGTCGGTTTTGGAATTAGGGTTTTGGGGTTGGTTTTGTTTGCTTTTAATTTTCCTTTCAACCAGAGCTACGACAGCATCACTGGGTATTACACAGGTGGTTTAAGAAGTTGCATCACAGCCATTAACACCTGGTAGCTTTATTCTGGTGGAATGATAAAGCTGATACTGGAAGAGTCATTGCATCTGTCCAAAAACCCACAGCAGGTTATGCAGCAAGTGATTTTCTCAGAGGAAAACCAGGAAGCATTACAGCCTGTTTTAAATATCAAGGAATTAAAACCCCAGGAAATGAAAAGGCAACTCATGGCTGGCGTCAAGACAGAGCTGGACATCTACACTTAGAAACGTGAAGTGTAGCAGTACCAGCCAGATTCAGACTAGGTCTAGGGGCCTTAAGAAGTTGGTAGGATCCAAAAGACCACCAAACAACAGGACTGTGAGGGAAGTTACTCCCTCTCCAGAGCAAAGAATGGTGAATGAAGTTCATATTCTTCCATTTTTTGAGATTTACACATGCATTTTTCCACTTCTGTGAAACATGACATGAGATCCTCTGCCCATACAGCAAGAAGAAGAATTGCTGGCTCATCCACATTAACCTCCACAGGCTTTTCTACAACCACAAACTCTTCTGGAGTCCGGCATGAGCTGTGTCTTCATACAATACCAAAAACACCCAGTGGCACAAGATCTCCAAAAAGAGCCGCCTCCGCAAGGCTTCCCAACTCTCAACAGGTAACAGAACCATGTACAGGTTAGTTTCCAGCCACTACAAAAACTACAAGCTGATACACCGAAGCAACATTTAAACCCAGTTTCCCACTCCCTGCTGCAGAGCCAACCATGCGGATCATGTAAAGGATAAAAGCCTTGGGTGCACAGACAGAAAGCATGGAGCAGACTGCAAAGGTGCAAGGCTGCAGCAGCTGCTTGAGCTTACCATACGTCTCGGATCTACTCTCCTCTGAACTAGACTTTGTCTTCTTGGAGGAGCTATCTGCACGAGAGCAGGAGAAAAGGAGAGAGAGATATAGAAAATATGGAGACCAAACATGAGAAAAAAAAAAAAACTTCATGAAAAACACAGACTGATTTATTAGGTTAAATCGTGCAAAACACAAATAAGATGGGCACAAAACATAGGTGAAACACTTGGAATGAGGGGTGAATAATACGAGCATGAAGACACAGGTAACACCACAAAGAATCTATCGCAGAATGTGAGACACAATAAAAGAAGTTCTCTGCAGTGACCTACAAAAGGTACTCTGGATAAAAACCAGTCTCAGGATAGAAACCCTGGAAATGTTTCTCTCCAGAGTAAGCGATTGACATATGCACTGTTGTTCAGCATTCTGAATTCCCCCCCTTATAAATAAGAGAGTTCATCTCTCAGACCAGCTCACAAGCACAGTTAACAGTGGCGCCAGGTAACAGCTCTCCAAATTGCAGTGTTTTCCATCAAATTAAGATTAGAGGATTCCTGAAGTTTGGTTTTGAAGAAAACAAATTCCTTCTACAAAACAGGTTCATAACCTGAGACCTCCCCCAGCTTTTCCCACCCTGAAATAGTCTCACATCACTTTTTCCCAAGGATAAAGCAAAAGACAAGCACTAATTCGGGGGCTCTCCCTTATGGGATTCTTTTTTTAACCAACATTAAAAGCCCATCCATTTTGTGCACGCTAGGTAGGAGTCATGCAGCTGGTGGCAGAAAGCATTAAGGAACAGGATGTTTTATAAACATGAGCTTCAAGTGTCTGGTGCAAAAAAACACATTCTACAAGTTCTACCACCCTTCCATTCAACTCTCGTGTCTTCCGCAAGCCCCAGGGAAAAGACTGGGCTGAAAGCACAATGCAGAGACATGAAAAACATGTATTGCATGGGGCCAGGAGACTCTGACAAGAGCCTGTCATGCATTTCATGAACACACACAGTAGTCACTGGGTTAGTGTTTCAGAGAGAGAATGAAGACTCCCTGCATGCATCCTAATTTCCAAGCCAGCACTGGACAGGCTGACTGAACTGGCCCTAATTAAACCTTTTGGAAGGTTAAAAAAGCCATAGGAGAGCATATCCATTAAAATTAGATGTTTTGTCTTCAACTGTATCATGTTGGGAAGTACAAAGTCACTGGACAAGTGACAGAGAAGGATCAAAATCCACTAAGGCTAAAAAAAAAACCCAAAACAACAAAACCTCAACAAGGAGTACCAGTCCTAGTTGAGCCTGTAACAGCTCCATGAACTAAATGAACTAAATGATCTAAATGAACTCAACTAAAATGGCCAAAAGAACTACCCACAACTAATGACAGTATTTGCCTACTGAAATTTCAGCCGGCCCTCTCTGAAACAGGAAGCAGTGACAATTTTTCACTGGTATCACTGATCTAGGTTTATTCTTGCACAGTTAACAGCTGCTGTGTAGATGTGCATGTTTAAAAGCAAGCCCATATGCATTTCAATGCCCACACGCTTCAAAAAGGCTTTGCAATCGCGGAACGACGCAAGTGGGGAAACCACATTTGTTGACACGATTTGGATTTAATCCCTATTCGCAGTTCAGATTTTCCCCTGTGAAGTTTTAGGACTTTACCTGTGGGATCAAAGTCGTGGGTACTACTGCAGCGCTCGACCTTCTGCTTCTTGTCAGCTGGAGACTCTCTGCTCAGAATGCTGCCATGTCTGTGTCAAACCAAAGCAGAGGATCCTGACTACCGGACCGCAGAAGCACTGCCTAACTGGTGAGGAAATAACCTCGTCTAGTTCTGTTTGCTAAGGAGGAATTCAGATGGGAACACATGCATTAAGTTCACTTAAAAAATTTATTCCCAGACTGAATTCAAGCGGCAAAATGATCTCCCTCACCATCCTTGGGGGCGTATCCAGGTAACAGTGTCATTAACCTTCCAAATTAGCAATAGTAAGCGCATTCTCTTTCCTATTCAACACCAGGCCATGTTTCATTTTCAAAGCAAAATAAATGCAAGCTCCATAGAACTGGGAAACCTCCTGAAATCTTCACTCCACCTCCTCTCCCAGCAAACCTCAATGAGCTTTGGATGCAGAAATTAAACACTTAGAATACCCCCTCAAAGGAAGCGTTGGTGCATCATTCAGTAACAGAGTGTCACTTTCTCTGACCATCTCAAATCTCAGGTAAGACAACCTGCCAGTGTCCATAACAGAAATGCAAGTGGTAACACTATGCCATGTACTTTAAGCGCACCACCAAGTATATTTTTGGCACCCTGTCCCAATCTGGATATTAATTTCCTACACACGTAATGGGTACTGCTATCTGTGTACATTTTAGGTTTTCTTTTTCTCTTAAAAGCATTCCTCCTTCAAAAATGCTGTATCATAACTTGCAATACAGATAAAAAAGTCAAACATCAGTAACTCACCTTGTAGGTTTTTTGAGAGGAAACCTGAAAAGAAAGAAAAGAACAGAAGTTTAGTGACCTTTTTTTGTTCCACAGGATTACATCTGGTATCAACACTAATGCTTAAATATACAAACAGTTATATTACACTTCTCTAATACCTTCACAAGAGAACAAGCCTCTTTTTGTTCTTCTACCTCAGCTAATTATTAGTCCATTTACAACTGATTCAACTGGGTAAAGAATTATTATCAGTATGCTTAAGGTTTCAAACAGAACTAAGAACAGAAATCTGTGAGCTCACATTCAGCATCTAGTAGCTTGCTCGCACTTTGTACATAAGTGCAGCTCATGGGTCACCTTTCCTCTCCTTACAACTAGTTCCATACACTAAAAATTAACATAGCTTCTTTGTCCTGCTGATGGAGTGAGTACCTGGTACCTATTGAAGGTCCAAACTCCAACTGAAAATCCTCCTATAGCTGAGACATTCCGGTTGTCTCCCTCCTATGTGGGTTCTGTGGTATATATAAAGGAGCTCATGATGCCATCTCCTCCTAATATCTTACTATTTACATGAAACTATGAATTTGCCATCTTTGAGACCAGCACAATAAAGTTAACTTGAAATTATATTAAGTATTCCAAATATTATTACCAGGACACAGAGATAACACAATAACACAAATCCAGTTACATGGAGAAGGAAGCATATATGCATTTAAATAAGGAAAAGATGTGAGACTTCTGAAACCAGGATTTTATTTCTCTTGAATTACCATATAAAAATGACAGAGCAAGGTGCATTCCACCCAGCTTAAGGCACCAACTTCTGCTTTCATAAAGCAGAAGTTGGTGCTTTCATAAAGCAGAAGTAGCTCTTTTTCCCAAAACTCTTAAGAAGTTTAGCTCCATTCCTCTTTGTTCCATGTTTTTAGATCCTTGGGTTGGAAAGCAATGTAAAAATTTAGAGCTGTGTAAAAGGACAGATAATTTAAGTCACTTTTTGTTCTAAACGAAGACATCCAAAGTTATTATAGCTAATAATTTCCTATTATACACATTCTAGTTCTCCTTGCTGCATTGCGTTTCTCCTATTTATACAGGTTCTCCAAGAAGCAATGGGGTGAGGGTGAGAGGAAGGCAGAGAAAAAATTGCAGCAAAAAGAAACCTATAATCTAATACTTTTTATTTTTTTAATTTAGCTTGGTTTAAGCAGACTTATTTGGTAAAAAACAACAGTCCCATGTTAAGCCTGTTAGAACGACACAACAATCAGTGCAGGATTGTCCCCCACACACCATCTCCATACTCAACTGAGCTTAAGCAATGACCCTGTCCAACAACTGGTCCAACACGCAGAACCAACCCATTCTCCAAGAGCATTTCAGAGCATTACAACAGCAGATTCCTCGAGCACCACCAAGATGACTGCCCCAAATGCACACCTCATGTTTTAAGCTCCTTTCTCCAAAGGAGGGGCACCTTGTTCACCTATTCACCTACTCCTTTTTCCTCGATAACTAGATAGCGAGTGGCACAGCCAGAAATAGCACAGTCTTAAAGCTACAGTAAGTCCCTTCCCATTACCTGAAAAACATAACTGGATACACAGCAGAAGTACTCAACTTAATCCCTTACTTTGAATAATAGGGAGTCCATGAAATGCGTGTACACCCAAAGCGCTGGCCAGCTCACACATGCCAATCCCCTATGCAAACATGCACTAGTACGGCAACTCTGACACGAACACCTGGTGACACATTAGGCAAGTGAAATTAAAATGTTGTCTGACTATTACTGAAAATAATTACACACATCAAGGCACTTGCCATCTTTTAGATAACAGCATCGAATTCAGGTGACGTTCAGTAACAGCTTCAAAATTAAGGGAATAAATAGGGCCTTTGATTACATGAGCCTTAGCAACCTATGGGTAAAGCTAAAGAAAGCTAAAGTATAGAGGTTAGTTAATTGAAGGAAAAGATTACATACAGACCCTATAAGAAGTAGTAGTCCTCTTTACTCCTCCCCATAAAAAGCACTATTTTAATCCTAGAAGCCTGGGAAATCCACTCTGATTCAAATTCAGGCCTCTCCTCATTCTGCTCTACCTGCAAAGCCAGATCCTTTTAGCATTCAGCCCTCCCATTTACAAGGTTTGGCCAGTAAAACACTGCTTTATGCAAGACAGACACCATGCATCCCAAAGCAAAGCAAGCAAGTCATCTCAGGCCAACCTTACCCATCTGAACACTGTACAGTGAACAGATGCAGTAGTAATCAAGTGTTTCATTGAAAAGCAAAAAAGAAGAAGGGATCCAGGAAAGACAATCTATCGTCCCTCACTGAGGCAGGAAAAGGTGCTTAAGATTAATTATACCCCTATTTTTATCTAATGCACTTGAACTTTTGAGCTGCATAGAGTCTTACCAATACTAACAAATGTTTTAATGAAGCATTTAAGTGAAAACCTTCATCCCATAGTGTTTCTTACTAGGCACCCGAACTCCAAGCTTATGCTCCTGCAGCAAAAGAAACCGTTGACAAGTAAAATCAGGTCGGTTCACTGGTGTACCATTTTGGCTGGTCCAGAGCTATTTGCTCAAGGATGAAGCGCAAACGTTCTATTTTAGATGTCTAGAAAGTTGTATAAAATCCTCCTACTTATAATGGACTTCTGACAATTATTTAGGAAGAAAACCCTGAAATTTATCATATGTAACGGCACTGGAATCATCATGAGTTTTTTCCGTGCTTCGACATTAATGTTGACCATAGAAGTCCCACTGTGTGAGTGCCAAACCCCCCCCAGCTTCCCAGTCTGAGGCTGTAACTGTGCTGTAACTGCACCTCAGCCCACACAGCCAGCACTAGCCAGGAGCCGGCTAGCTCTGAAGCATCCCCATTGCAGTGATGCTGAAAACCATTGGGAGGGACACCCCAGCACAGACCTGGGGTATCAGAAGCACAGTGCTCCATCCCCTCCAAACCCCTGGCCCGCTGCTGTGGAGCGCGGCACACTGGGAATGACTCCCGGAAGCCCTGGAGCCCCTTGGCCACCAGCCAGCTTCCTGTGTTTCTCTCTTCTGCGAGGCAGGGAGGGAGGGAGGGACGCAGTGGGGAAGCGGGGCAGGCAGCAGGTCACCACTGCAGCAAAGCCTCTCGGGCACACGCACTGTGTTGTCCGGAGGTGGTGAGGCTGAGGGAGCTCCACATGCTTTAGTTCAGCAGTATTCCATTAAGCCAGTGCTGCAGGAAGGGATGAGCTTTGGCCAGATAGGCTGGAGATGAAGCTCCCTAGATCGCCCAGAAAAACTCTCCTCCCAGACCTGAAATTATTCCAGGCCACTGAGTTATGAAATCACAGGAATGATGAAGATGGAAGAGTCAGCTGAGCTAAGACTACAACTGTGATGTAACATCCGTGGTTAGCCAGACAGCAGGGAGCACTCGGTGGAGAAGTTCCTTCCCGTTTTCCAGTCTCCTGCCTGAGGAGAACCCAGCATTTCTTGATTTGCTGAAGACATTCTTCAGTTCCCAAACACCGAATCACTTGTATGCTACAGCAGAAAGCAGAACAAAAGTGGATGGAGCGCAGTCAAAGAACACAGAAGAGCTCCCATGAGTTTACCCAGCAACTGTTTGCGTTTCAGTCTTCACTCTGAAACAGCATTAAGTTTGGAAGTAGCACTGAAAACCCCCCCGTTTTATAGTATTCGGCACTACATATAACATGCAAAACGTGTTTCACCTACTGTTGTAAACACCATGCAAGCTGAAGGCACAGCAGGGTGCGGTTAACAGCTGGAGACTTACTTCCAAATCTAGCTGGCAAGTTGAGGCTATACGATAAAACCCTGTAGACATTTTGCCTGATAACTGATGAACATCAGCACATTCCCAAACAAGTTGTTCCACTCTCCCAAATACCGGCACCAACAAAAAGCCAAGTCGCATTTTGTCTTTAAAATACTGGGTCAAATAATTTAAGTCATTTAAATGCATCAAATTACTGAAAGTATGTCTCGGTCGTCATGCTGCATGAGGGAAATCCATTTAGCGTAAGTAAAGCCAAGGGAGAGGAATACACCTACAGCATGGATTAAAAATCATACTTCTCCAAGTTAGCTCACACATGCATGCACCATTCAGGACGGGCCCAGTGCCTGCAGCCAAAAAGAGAGGTTTAAGACCTAATGTGTCAAAACACAGCAGAGCGAGGAAGGATTCCCAGCTTCCAACAGTACAAAGCATTCCATTCTAGCCCAGGAGGTTGAAAATATATCTGACCATAAATAGCACAGCGTTCAGATAACCATGTTGGGTTTTTGTCCTCCCGTACTAAAATATTGCCAGAACTCAAGTAGCTGCTATCTCAAAAACTGATCAAAGACAAAAATATTTAGATTCAGACGAGGGCCCCAACCTTGGAAATATTTATTCATGTGCCTAACTTTAGTCCCATTTACTTCAGCAGGACTACTCACATGCCTGAAATGAAGCCTGTGTGTGTCTGCACCGTGCAAGTAGAAATTACTCCAACTCGTGCCGAGATGAGTAAGAAATATTGTGAAACCCATACAAAAGACAACAGCCAAAAACTGCTTGCTTGACAGAACTAATCTTTAATTAGGAGATGAACAGTTGCAATAGAAGCTTCTTCGTTGCTTTATTAGCTTCATTTGAATAAGACGTTGCTTGTTACAGGCAAACCCTTTTCCAGAATCCTAAATCTGAAAGGAAAGCAGCAAACGCACCCCCCAGCCACCCCAAACACAGGAGAGATGAGAAACATCACAGCTTCACTCACTCCTCTTTCTGACACATTTAGAAAGACAAGAGGAAAACCAAAGGTTAAGTCAAAGTCTGATCTACCACCCCACCCCCCCCCCCAACAAGAACCCCAAACTATGTCTACCTAAAATGACATCACCCTGCTTCAGGAGGTTTCCACCAAGTAAATTAGTCAATGAGTAGCCTTTTGCCAGCACCGCCTCCATGGATTATGGGGAAAAAGCAAGTTGTGTAACGTGCAGGCACG